CACTGCCGACATCTCAGAAAGGGAGAAGGTAGCTCAGCTGAAGAGGTAAGTCAGACTGAGGCTGCATTGTTTGCTGGTTGATGCCAACTTGGTTAGAATAAAATACTGATGTTTTGTTTTGCCTTTATTTCAGTATCTACAAAAAAGCTGGCCTGAAAAAGGAAAAGAGAGAAGTGACGTACGTAGTCGCCAAAAAAGGAGTTGGGAAGAAGGTTAGACGGCCTCGTGGAGTGAAGGGACTCTTCAAAGTGGTGGATGGACGCATGAAGAAGGATATGCGGGGGGTGCAGAGGAAGGAACAGCGAACGAAAGGAGGAAAAGGAAGGCAGTCCAAGGGGGGTAAAGGGAAGAGAGGAAAATAAATATGAACTAATTCAATTTTGCTGATCAGGATCAAGCAGAGCAGCTTGAGTTCATTTCTTAAATACATAAAGTGATTAAAGTGTATTTAAGCCGTGGGGACTTTGGACCTGTCCTGGTGGCGTCGATGCTGGTGCTTCCTGTACATCTTTCTAAAGATGCTGTTTTTTTTTTTTTTCTCACAGGCCTGTAACTGTACTAACAGTATATGTACTCCTAATGTTTTGTAAATATTAACTGGACAAAACCAAAAAGTTTTTTTGTTTTGTTTTTTCTTTAGAAAGATCTTTAAGTTTTAACAGTTTATTCAAAAGTTTTGAAAAGTATGAAGGTTATAGTGCTGCCTCGCAGGGTTTTATTGAACAACTTGATTCATTGCCATGAAGCAAGAATCTTCTGTTTATGGAGTAGCTCCAAAATCAGACTGACCTTGAACTGCACATACACATTGCTGAAGTTTAAGGGATAGCTCATCTGATTTTCATAAAGTTGTAATCTATAAAACATGCTTCTATTGCTTCAAGGCAATAAAACAGTTAATTTATCGCCTCAAAGGCATTTTGAAATTACACAAACTTTGAAAAGTGCAAAATTGGCAGCAAAAACACAATACGCATATTTCTATCTTTTTTTTTTTTTGCATATCCACTTAAATAAAATCCAAACCTGACTCTTTCTGTTCTATAATTTCTTTGCATACAGGGTTTCTACTGGTTGGGAAAAGGTAGTAAATGACATAACTGAAATTAAGACCAATTGTAACAAAAATACAGTAGAACCTGAGCTGATGTTGACAGGCCCAATCAGTGCTGCTGGCTAAAGGAATGAAAAGGACTAAACTGATGTAGTAATACCATTTAGTAGTGGTGAAATGAAATCAGTGTTTAAGAAGATGGCAGAAACAACGGTATGAAGAAAGGACTGGAAGATTGTAAAGTGTTTTTTAAAAAGTTAGGATAAGAAGAAAATGAGGGGATAGAGAATAACAAATATCTAGATTTCACCTGAATCCCACGTGTTTAAATAGCACTTTATTTGAATTGGAGCCAGGGTTGGGGTTCGTTGGCGAGCGCCTGGTGGTCGGGTTCTTCCTCGCGGGACCCGGCCGGGCCCAGCCCGAAGGAGCGACGCGAGGCCATCCCCCAGTGGGCCCACTACCTGCAGGGGGAACCATGAGGGACCGGTGCATAGGGGATTGGGCGGCAGCCAGAGGCAGAGACCTCGGCGACCTGATCCGCGGGTGCTTAAACTGGCTCGTGGGACGTGGAATGTCACCTCACTGGCGGGGAAGGAGCCCGAACTTGTGCGGGAGGTGGAGCGATACCGGCTAGAAATAGTTGGGCTCATCTCTACGCACAGCCAGGGCTCTGGAACCGAGCTCCTTGAGAGAGGCTGGACTCTCTTCTACTCTGGAGTGACCCGCGGGGAAAGGCAGGGGTGGGGCTGCTTGTCTCCCCCCAGCTCAGCCGTCTCGTGTTGGAGTTCACCCCTGTAGACGAGAGGGTCGCATCCCTTCGCCTTCGGGTTGAGGGGAGGACTCGGACAGTTGTTTCGGCCTATGGGCCGAATGGCAGTACAGAGTACCAGGCCTTCTTAGCATGGGGAGGGTGTTAGAAAGCACCCCTCCATCATTCTACTGGGAGACTTCAACGCCCACGTGGGAAACAACAGTGACACCTGGAGGGGCGTGATCGGGAGGAACGGGCCCCCAGCTCTGAACCCGAGTGGTGTCTCATTATTGGACTTCTGTGCAAGTCACTGATTGTCCATAATGAACACCTTGTTCAGGCATAAGGATGTCTATCGGTGCACTTGGCACCAGGACACCCTAGGCCGAAGGTCGATGATTGACTTTGTAGTCGTATCTTCTGATCTTCGGCCGCATGTCCTGGACACTCGGGTGAAGAGAGGGGCGGAGCTGTCCACCGACCACCACCTGGTGGTGAGCTGGATACGCTGGAAGAGGAGGAAGCCTGAAAGACTCGGCAGGCCCAAACGTGTAGTGAGGGTCTGCTGGGAACGTCTGGTGGAACCCTCTGTCAGGGACGTGTTCAACTCCCACCTCCGGGAGAGCTTCTCTCAGGTTCCGAGGGAGGTTGGAGACATGGAGTCTGAATGGGCTCTGTTCTCTGCCTCTATTGTCAATGCAGCTGCCCGTAGCTGTGGCCGTAAGGTTTGCGGTGCCTGTCGTGTCGGCAATCCCCGAACCCGGTGGTGGACACCGATAGTAAGGGATGCTGTCAAGCTGAAGAAGGAGTCCTATCGAGCTTGGCTGGCTTGTGGGACTCCTGAAGCAGCAAGCAGGTACCGTGAGGCCAAGCGTGTCACGGCCCGAGCGGTTGCAGAGGCAAAATCTCGGGCCTGGGAGGAGTTCGGAGAGGCCATGGAAAAAGACTATAGGTTGGCCTCAAAGCGATTCTGGCAAACCGTCCGGCGCCTCCGGAGGGGAAAGCAGTGCTTCGCTAACACTGTTTTCAGTGGGAGTGGGGAGCTGCTGACCTTGAAGGAGGATATTGTCGGGCGGTGGAAGGAATACTTTGAGGATCTCCTCAACCCGACGGACACGCCTTCCGTGGGGGAAGAAGAGACGGGGTGCTTGGGGCTCGGATCGTTCATCACCCAGGCCGAAGTCACCGAGGTGGTCAAAAAACTCCACGGTGGCAAGGCTTCGGGGGTGGACGAGATCCGTCCTGAGTATCTTAGAGCTCTGGATGTTGTCGGGCTGTCATGGTTGACACGTCTCTTCAACATCGTGTGGAGGTCGGGGACAGTTCCCCTGGATTGGCAGACTGGGGTGGTGGTTCCCCTCCAGAAGAAGGGGGACCGGAGGGTGTGTTCCAATTATCGGGGAATCACACTTCTCAGCCTCCCCGGAAAGGCCTATGCCAGGGTGCTGGAGAGGAGAGTCCGGCTGATTGTCGAACCTCGGCTGCAGGAGGAACAGTGTGGTTTTCGTCCTGGCCGTGGAACATTGGACCAGCTCTACACCCTCTGCAGGGTGCTTGAGGGTTCATGGGAGTTTGCCCAACCAGTCCACATGTGTTTTGTGGACTTGGAGAAGGCATTCGACCGTGTCCCTCGTGCTGCCCTGTGGGGGGTGCTCCAGGAGTATGGAGTCGGGGGCCCTTTATTAGGGGCCATCCGTTCTCTGTACAAGCGGAGCAGGAGTCTGGTTCGCATTGCCGGCACTAAGTCGGACCTTTTCCCAGTGCATGTTGGACTCCGACAGGGCTGCCCTCTGTCACCGGTGCTGTTCATAACTTTTATGGACAGGATTTCTAGGCGCAGCCAAGGACCGGAGGGGGTCTGGTTTGGGGAACAGCGGATCTCGTCCCTGCTTTTTGCGGATGATGTAGTTCTGCTGGCTCCCTCCTGCCAAGACCTACAGCGTGCGCTGGGGCGGTTCGCAGCCGAGTGTGAAGCGGCCGGGATGAGAATCAGCTCCTCCAAGTCAGAGGCCATGGTTCTCGACCGGAAAAAGGTGGCTTGTCCCCTTCAGGTTGGAGGAGAGTCCCTGCCTCAAGTGGAGGAGTTCAAGTATCTTGGGGTCCTGTTCACGAGTGAGGGAAGAATGGAGCGGGAGATCGATAGACGGATCGGTGCGGCTGCTGCAATAATGCGGACGCTGCACCGGTCTGTCGTGGTGAAGAGAGAGCTGAGCGAAAAGGCAAAGCTCTCAATTTACCGGTCGGTCTACGTTCCTACCCTCACCTATGGTCATGAAATTTGGATCATGACCGAAAGAACGAGATCCCGGATACAGGCGGCTGAAATGAGCTTTCTCCGCAGGGTGGCTGGGCTCTCCCTTAGAGATAGGGTGAGGAGCTCGGTCATTCGGGAGAGGCTCAGAGTAGAGCCGGTTCTCCTCCACATCGAGAGGAGTCAGTTGAGGTGGCTCGGACATCTTTTTCGGATGCCCCCTGGACGCCTCCCTCGGGAGGTGTTCCAGGCACGTCCCACCGGGAGGAGGCCCAGGGGACGACCCAGGACACGCTGGAGAGACTATGTCTCTCGGCTGGCCTGGGAGCGCCTAGGGCTTCCCCCAACAGAGCTGGAGGAGGTGTCTGCGGAGAGGGAAGTCTGGGAGTCTCTGCTTAGTCTGCTGCCCCCGCGACCCGGTTCCGGATAAAGCGGGAGACGACGAGTACGAGTACGAGTTCCTACGGAAGAGATTTAGGGCCACTGAACAATAAAACAAAGTTGACTGATTTTTTAAATTTTATTTCAGTTTAATATGGGAAAAAAGTCATAATTCTGACTTTAATCTCAGAATTCCGACTTCACTCTTAGAATTCTGACTTTAATCTTGGAATTCTGAGTTTAATCTTGGAATTCTGACTGTAATCTTGGAATTCTGACTGTAATCTCGGAATTCTGACTGTAATCTCGGAATTCTGACTTTTATCTTAGAATTCTGACTTTTTTCCCCCATATTATACTGAAATACAATTTAAAAATCTTAACTTTTTTAATTTTTTTTCAGCGGCCCTAATCCTCTTCAGTACAATCCAAGCTCCATTTCAGTTGGTGGCGGTAATGCACCAACAAGTCCCTCCCAACCGTAATTTAACACAAGAGGAGATGTAGCGCGCCTCCCTTCCAGTGGGAGGCAATAGTGCACAATGTGGCGTATAGCCAGCCGGAAAAAAGTACCCAACAAGAAGAATAAGACAGAGAAAAGTGCTTCCTTGTTTGTGTGTCACTTGGAGCAATTATGTAATTTTAACTTTTAGTTTCGGTACCTAAAACATGTTTAATAAAGTAGGTTAATTTGACCGGATTTCACCGGACACATATCCAGCTTTAGGCTGGTCTTTAAAGTCAGAATGCTGCTGTTTCTCCTCTGCTGCTTCTCTCTGTCTGCTCTGGGTCAACAAAAACCCGACGACTGGATAGATCCATATGACATGCTCAACTACGACTCAAGCACCAAGACAATGAAGACACCTTCCGAGGTTAGTTTGCTTATTTAAGGTTTATTCTAGAGTCGTTGGCTGTTATAGAGCGGATATACTGTCTTTCTTTTTAGCCAGCGACCTTTACAAACGTTGGCACCAAAAGAAGAGAGTACATCCAGGAGCAGAGCCAGGCTGAGCTGACAGCATGTAAACAGCAGACGGAGAATCTACAGAGGCAGGTTCGTTCTTAGAAACATCTCTCATCTGCTAATGCTAAACTTTACCTCTAAAACCCACAGAAACAAACATTCATTATTCAAACAGGAGGATTTACTTATCAGCACAACACCTACATAAGCTACCTTCCTATTAACTATGTATAAAGTTTGATAGCGGATATATCACACAGCTACATTTAATCAAATTACTTTTGAAGGGTTTTTATAAGTGAAATTTCTGATGGAATAAGTAGGGGCATGAAAAACGACAGCGAATAAAATATATTTTTTGAAGAGCTGTTATTACAGTGTCAGGACATGAAATGGATCTGCTGCGAAATAAGTTAAAAGACCTTTAAAATATCTGCAAAACATGAATCTGGAAACATTTAAGTGATTTTTTTTTTTTTTTTACCATCTTACACCAGCAGAAATTAAAGTAAAACATATATATATATTTTTTTTTGTAAAGTGATAACAGGGACCAAGCAGTCAGGCAAAGGACAAAGGCAATAAGGCATGGAAAAAAAATATCATCCATTTATTCTTCCAAAGTACTAATAAACAAAAGACTGAAAATTGGAAAAAAACAAAAACGTGCCAAAAGAAGATATCAACTAAGAGAAATTTAACCAAGGATAACAAACCAGAACTGACCTCTCACAATGAACACAGGGGTATTTAAACACATAGGCTAGCCTACAAACAACAAGGAGGGGAGGAAGAAAACTTAGGACAAACAATAAATAAAGCTAGACAACTAAGTCAACACTAATAATAACTACAACACAAATATGAAACTAAGACATTCAAAAACCAAAATGTATTTTAGAACAGTAGAGTTTTGAGTGTTTGACAGATCCTCCAGAGTCAAATCCCCCAGTGTCAGCGGATTGTTGGTTTCCTCCACTTCATGTGTTACACCATATTTGCTCCTCCAGCTAGTTCTTTCATCCTCAGCAAAAGAAAAACAATAATCTTGAAATACTGTTCATAGGGTGTTTATTAAATGTGTGCACCCATATTAGCAAACATCCTACAATAAATATGCTGTGTGAAACAAACATACTGACACTGAAATGGTTGGAGGAACCCCCACAATCAACATAATTATGAACGGATCACTCTTCTTTTTACTGGTTTACTTATTAATGACTAAATGTCTAACATCTGGTTACTTTAGGTTTAAAACATGCATGGTAGCTTTGTTGGTGTGAATCAGGTCAAGTGCATGAAATGGTGTGTTTTACTTTGCTCTAGATTGAAGACCTAAAGAAGGAGACAATGCTCATGTCGCAACAGCCGAGCTGCAATCCAGTGTTCAAGAGGTTCCTCAGCAGACTGTTGAAGGAAATACAGAGAATCGGTGTGGTGGGTACTGATTTTATCCAGGTCATTCTTTATCAGTGAGATTCTAATCAATATCACACTTTCCATAATAACAGGATTCACTGTAATGCACAATGGCTACTCATGTGTTTTTGAACATTGATTTACCAAAATGCTCCTTCAGTAAAAATGCACTGAAAAACAATTTTTTTTTTTTTTTTTTTATCTTCCCAGCCCAGTGACTCATCAGATGGCTTCTATGACGCCAAAATCAAGCTGTCCAAACAGGCCATGACGGAGATCCAGTCACTCCTGAATGGGGAGGACAGATGGAGAACTGGAGCTCTGGACAATGCACTCAGCCAGATCTTGATGGACTTTAAATTACATGATTATGAACCCTGGAAGTGGAGATTTGAAGATACTTTCCATGTTGAGCTTGACACTGTATTAAAGGTATGATAATTCATTTAATTTGCTGCTTTTTTACTAGGCGACACGTCAGCCAGCTTGGATAGCTTCTGACTTGGTCAAAGGTCAAAATATGAGTCAGTGGATGTTTGTACCATTCCTAACAAATGTATATCACCAGTAGAAAGTCAATGTCTTTTTTTTTTTACACAGTTTTTTTAAAGTTTAAGATTTAACAACAATATTTAGACTAGTTCAAACTTTCAAAGTATTTACCAGCAGCTTTCGTTGTTCCAGATGTTACAGATAGCTGACTTCTCTTCTTTGTTCCAGGTCGGGATACTCATTCTCATTATATCAACCGTCATTGGCACCCAGCTGTGGTCCGCTGTCTCCTGGTTCGTTCAGTTCAGAAGGATGTTTGCCATTTGCTTCGCAATCAGTATTATCTGGAACTGGTTCTATCTATACCAGGTGAAGATGAGCCCCTTTTTTCATTTTATGCTGATTTTGAGTAAATTGTCCTTCAAAGCTAAGAAATTATCGTTTATTTCAACTTCTTTTTAGACCGCCTTCGCTAAGCACCAAAACGATATTGTGCAGATGGAAAACTTCAATGAAAAATGCACTGGAGTGAGAAAAATTGACTGGAGGGATAATCTGAAAGGTAAACCATCTTGCACCATGACAAGTGTCTTGAAGTTTAGATCAAATTAACTTATTTCCCTAATTAAAGAAAACAAACACTATTTTAACCTTATTATGTATTGTTCTATTGGGAATTTGCAGAGTGGGTCAGAACAACCTGGACTCTTCAAGATGACCCCTGCAAAAAATACTATGAAGTCCTGATGGTTAACCCTCTCCTCTTGGTGCCGCCAACAAAGGTCAGTCTGGATGCTGATGCCTGTTGAGGCAGCACACTGAGCTGCCACAGCTTTGGAAGTATCCGGCTAATATTACACACATGGGCGTAGGTTTGCATAGGGACCATAGGGACATGTCCCTACCAAAATTTAGGACGGACCTATTTGTCCCTACCAATAATCGGATGTGAACAACATGTTTATAATTTACTATACAGCAGCCGCTTCTTTTCCTCTCGCAGCTTCTCTGCCTGGTAGCTGCAGCTGCCTGCTCTTTCCTGTCCCTTTCACATAGCAGCGCATCAACTGTGCTGCGCGGTTTAACTCTCTGATTATTCTGCCTTAAGTTCCGCCTTCTCTCTTTCTGATTGCGTGTTTTCTATTCTGTATGTGTGCGGGTGCGGGTGCTTGGAGCGCGAAAAAAAAGACGCTAAAATAAATTAATATTGGGCCAAGGAACTAGTCAAATAAAAAAACTTAATATTATCTACGCTAAAACAGGCAAAAGCTTCTGATTGGAGTTCTGTAAAGAAGCAGGAGAGAGTTTTTTGATTTGTGGAACTTGAGAAATGTAAGTTAACAACGTTAGGATTTCTTTTATTTTATCTTTTAATCAGATAGCCAAAGGCTCCTTAAAGAAGATCTTTTATGAAATGAAACCAGGTGAAACAGAAACGTTTAAACGTTTCCTTTGGAGGAGTTCTGGATGGAGAATATTGACAGACAAAAATGTTTTACTTCCTAAATGCAAAATGTTTACATATTTTTTTTTTACAATCTTGGTATAATTCCTGCTCTAAGTGGGTCGCTCTGTCGGCTAAAGGCACATTTAAGTGGCCCTATATTCCAGTTAACGATTAATCAATTACTAAATTAGTTCACGATTATTTAAATAATTTGTTAATATGATTAATTGTTTCAGCCCTAGATAAAATACATTAATTTAGCTACACAGAGTAACTACAGCCCAGATGTACACCTTCTAATATTAATATTTTAAATGCTCAGTGTCAGTTCCTCTTCTAGTTCCAGTGCACATGTAAATACAATACATTTATTTACCGTCCCTTGAATGTATTATTTTGCATGATCCAGAGAGAGCATATTAGAAAAAAAAAAATAAGAGTGGGTTTTACCTCTGCACAATTCTATATCTTCAGAAGAAAACACAGGATAAATCCACATATTACAGACATATTTAGACTATATTTGGTTAAATAGACACTGTCCTAGTCGCAGGTAAATTTAAATGCAATCCTTTTCAAAGTGGAAAAAGTCCTAATTCCACATCCATCAGAGCCAGTGATGCTTTAAATACTGATAAACAGCATCTAGTGCATGTAGTGCTTATAAGATTTGTATTAATGTAGCAAGAAATGCTGCTGTTCTCTTTAAACAAAATGAGCCCTGAAGCTCACATTAAACATAAAAAAAGAGCATGCATATTTTTGCAAAGGACCAATGAAACTGAAGAATAGTGTCCCTACCAAAGTTGAAAACAAACCTACGCCCTTGATTACACACACCACTGCTCCATGTGGCTTATTATTTCCTCTAGAATAATCCTCATACTTCCTTTGCAGAGGCTTCTTTAGTTCATGTATAAAGGGAAAATATATCCCCATCCTTATTAATTTCTCCTGTTTCACCTCTTGTGTCATGATTTAACATATTTAGATAATCCAAAAAGCATAGAGTTGCTGCACAAATATAGGCTGATATCAGAGAACCATGCAGTAATGTGAATGTTGTAGTGAAATGTCTTTGATTTGATTAGATGGTATTAATGTCTGTCTGTAGCAGTTAATTCATTTACTAAAGAAAAGTCTTCACCTAAAGAAATTTCATCACCTGTTGTTCTTTTTCTTTCTGAGACAGTATTATCTGGCTATAATCAAATATAAGTTAAACACAAAGTATCACCATATAACTAGCAGAGAGAGTGTGACTGTCTTAATTTGGTTTGGATAGGTTTTCAGTAAAAGGGCTGTTTGTTGTATTCTAAAAAAAAAGGAAAGACCAAGTCTGGAAAAAAAACAAAATTTTATTTACAGATCTTAAAAAAATCTGAAACTAGATTATTGGTATGGTGATTATTTGGCATATTTCTTTAAAATGTAACACCAGATTTTATTTATTTAGTTCTTCTTACTCTCTTTTTAAATTGGTTTTGAAAACTAGCTTTATTTCAGCCATTGCCTACCCCATGACACAACAAGTTAGTTTATCAGTAACTTTGTTATTCATGATGAAGACTAGTTTTACCATGATTTGGTTTGAAAGTTTCAGTCTTGTGATGCGTGTGAAATTTGCTGCTGTAGATTTCTAACCAAAGGTTGTGGTGTAATCACACTTTACTGTCGTGGAATGGTTCTTCAGTGGGTTTTAGTACCATAGTGGAATGTTAGCTTCAGTGTCACAGTGGAAGACATCATTGTATCAATTCAGACATATTTCTGGGAGTTCTGCAGTCCTTCCTTGCTGAAATTTAAAACACTTTATTTTTATTAGCTTGCTTTTACCACTGGCAGGACTTAGTTTTTGTGACATTGTTTATTTAGCTTAAACAAATTCCTGTTATTGCCTTATTTTATATTTTTATGCTTTATTTTATTATTTTATTGTGTTTTATTTTTAGTTATGTTCAGCGCTTTGTTTTTAGCTGTAGCTGAAAGTGCTCTACAAATAAAGATGATGATGAGTTTTCTGTTACATAGAGTAAATATATTATCCCTGCACCTAAATATAAAGTTAAACCTTTAAATACTTCACTTTTTAGGCAATATCAGTCACCATCACAACCTTCATCACAGAGCCGCTGAAGCACCTTGGGCAGGGAATAAGCGAGTTCCTGCGAGAACTCCTCAAAGATCTCCCAGTGACCCTGCAGATCCCCGTCCTCCTCACTATTGTGCTTTCCATATTGGTAAAGACACATGGCAGATTTTCTTATAAAATCAAGAAAACTAAATATTGATGGTGGATCTTTTAACGGGTATCTGTTTGACTTTTACAAAGGTGGTCATGTATGGAAGTGTGCATGCAGCCTTTCAGCATGGCATCATGGCACCGTTCCGCCGCCCTCGAAGGGATCCACCACCGCTGGATCGTCCTCATCATCCTCCTCCTCCGATGATTGAGGACCGCGATTACTTGGCTGGAGGAGACGCTCCCGCTCAGGCACCTGTGCAACCGATTGCTCCACAGAACATCCTACGGCAGCGAGGGGAGGATGCCAGGCTGGACCGGAATGACGTCCACAGAAGACGACCCAATAGGGTCCAGGAGGGCCCAGCACCTGCTAAGGTAGAGACAGTAAGAGCTGCAGAGCCTCTATTCAGCGAGGATGAAAGAGATGGCGAGCAGCATAAAGAGGAGCCTGAGGTTGTAGAGAACAATTCTACTCCTGCCGAACCTGGTTCGAAAGACCAGCAGGGGAAGGTAGAAAAGAAGAAAGACCAGTATGCTGCATCAGATTCAAGTCCATCACAAACAAAAGGGAAACGTGTGAAATCAAAGGAAAAAGATTCTGAAGATAAACGCAGCAGAGCTGATGCAGCAGCCCCACCAGAGGTGCAGAGTTTACAGACTGATGCCCAGGTGAGTTCTCTCTAATATGCATAAAACTGAATCAGATGAGATGGTTAATCATAGTTTTAATTATCCTTTTACATGTGAATTATATGTTTTACTGCTGCAGTGCCATGCAAACACAAATAGGACGAAGGATAATTATGGTAAACATCTGTTTTGTTTCTGCCTTTATGTAATTTTGCTTGTTGAGTACTGTAAAACTTTCTGATTGTATTCATCCAGTAGTTAGCGGGTATTTAGATGGGAGCAGAATAGCAGGTGCATCTTTCCCCAAAGATCAGGAACTGATTGGGTAAAAGCCCTTAAAATCAGGTGGCTGAGAAATAATAATACAGCGTCTTGATGAATAGATATGCTTGAGACGCCATTGTGGGATTATTTTTTTTTTTTTCGTTTTGATTTTAAATCCAGGTATCTAATGATCAGAACCAAAACATTTAAGGATGGTTTGTTAATATTGGCTTGCAATATTTATGTCTCATCATCACACCCGTTGCAGGGCATTCTATTTCGGTATATACTGTAACCATTCTCTGTTAATCCACCATTTCCATAATATGGCCCCAGCAGTGTATTACTACTATAAATAATCCCTCTTTTTTCACATATATCTTTTTACTTAAAGGAATAGTACACCCAAAACATGATTAGCCTTCATTTTCCACTCACCCCCATGCTGAACAACACTCTGGAGTACTTTTTTGATATCTCAAATGCATCTGGAGATCTGGGAGGCTTCTTGCTGTCTGCTGACATTCAAATAATGGAGGTCTATGGTGTCTGAGACAGAAAGGTCCATAAAAGTCCACAAAAAACGTTTCAATATTCCTCCATACTGGTCGTCCAATGTATTCCAAGTGTCCTGAGTGGGTAGCATCCAGAATTTACTCGAAACGAAGTCATTTAGAATGTTTTTAGAGCATAAACAGTAGTGTATAGGATTTCCTGAAAGCGCGCACATGCGAGCTCACGACGCTACGGAAACCGCGGCAGACCAAACCAGATGATAGTGCGCATTCAGCTCGGCAAAGAACTCATGCTCTTCCTCAACACTGAAGTCCTCAGACATTTTTCTTTCGTTGTTTCTTTCTTTGCACAGGTAAACAGCACATTTCTTCTTCTACGCTTGCATTATCGGCAGAGCAGACACTGAATGCGCACTTTCATCTGGTTTGGTCTGTCGGCTTCCGTAGCGTCGTGAACAAGCAGGCGCGCGCTTTCAGGAAATCCTATACACTACTGTTTATGCTCTAAAAACATTCTAAATGACTTCGTTTCGAGTAAATTCTGGATGCTACCCACTCAGGACACTTGGAATACATTGGACGAGCAGCATGGAGGAATATTGACATGTTTTTTGTGGACTTTTATGGACCTTTCTGCCTCGGGCACTATAGACCTCCATTATTTGAATGTCAGCAGACAGCAAGAAGCCTCCCAGATCTCCAGATGCATTTGAGATATCAAAAAAGTTCTCCAGAGTGTTGTTCAGCATGGGGGTGAGTAGGAAATGAAGGCTAATCATGTTTTGGGTGTACTATTCCTTTAACTTGTACTTTGTAGTATTCTGTCAGGATTGTTTCCTTTTCTTTCTTTTATGGCTGTGAATTGTTTACACATGAGTTTTGTCCCTGCAGGACCCCGAGGCCTCAACAGAAGAACAGAAACAAACGATATCACAGAGACACATAGAGACTGTTGGAGTCCCTGTTCAGGAGACGAATGCTTCAGTCGGGGAATAGAAGCATTTATCAAAGGAGAAACTTCAAAAGCCATCAGTGATTGGTGCCATTTAGTTATAGGCACATATCAAATCTACTGAAATTTCAAATGCTGTCTGGTGGAAATGATTAATACTGTCGACTACCCACAGAACTGTTCATTTTCTGCATTTTTAACAGCTTTGCTTATTTTTCAATAGGCTTTTATTTCAACTTTTGGTATAAAAAGATCATATCATTGAGTTATACAGTTCAGCTTTCCTTCACCACCCTCAAGGTCATTGGAATTTCAAAGCTGTGCTGTTACTCTAAGTTTTAGATGAGAATAAGAATGATGGTTGATGTTTTGAAATGATTTGAAGATGTAAGATTTTTCTAATCAAATTGTATAATAAATGTTTATTTTTATTTTTATGGAAGAATACAGTCTTTGTAGAAATACTTTGTGGATGTATATTCTTCACATTCACTCTGAAACGCTGATCATGGAACAATCTGCTTTTTGTTGATTAAACATCCATCCATGCATCTTATCTGTCAGGGTTATGGTGGGGCTGGCGCCTATCTCCAGTAATCTATGGGCTGAAGGCCGGGTACACCCTGGACAGTTAGTCAGTCCATCGCAGGGCAACACTGAAACACAACCATGCACACACAGAACTCCAGACACCCACCAAAGGGCAATTTAGAGATAGCAGTTAATTTAGCAATCCTGGCTGTGTCTGAATGTCCACCTTAGCTACTATATATGGCGCTATATAGTGGTTATGCCATTTTAAATAAGTGTCCAAATGTCTAGTGGATGAAAAAGTAGTGACTTGAAATTTTCCACAGTGCACCATGAAAAGTAGTGATTATGGTCACTAGACAAGCAGATATATCCCGGAATGCTTTGCGAGGAGAGCTCTCTCCAGAAAGCATTATTTGTTGTGACAGCGGCAACAAATAACAAAGTTGGTGCGTGACCAACAGGTAGCAAAAAGTATTGATCATCCGTCTGCACGGTCAGTTAACAGAGTTCACCATATAGTCCCCGTTATATATAGTGATTTAGGGCGGACATTGGGACACAGACCATGTTTTTGGACTGTGGGAGGAAGCCAGAGTACTTGATGAGAACCCACACATGCACAAGTAAAGCATGCAAATGGCACCAAGACCTACTTGCTGCAAGGCAACAGTTCTACAAACTGCAGCACCGCGAATCCCCCTGAGTAAAGATATTTATCCAAATATTCTGACAGTCATTAATGTAAAGCATGGTAAAAACTACAGACATCTTGTGGTCAGTAGTTATAAAGTGGTGAGTTTTATCCTGCAGGAAATACAAAACCAATCTGCACATATGCAGATTATTAACAAAGAAACGCACTTATATATAGATAATAACAAAAGACCACACCCCTAAAGCAATCACACTAGGTGTGGGAAGATCTGAACACCTGTGCCACCAGAGAAATAAACAAAACGTTCACTTTAGCTCTTACAATATGTATATATAAATAAAATCAATTTAGTGAGTTCCATTTTTTCTTTAATTTAATTTATCATTACCATTGCTTTTGAAGGGGATGGGTTAAATGCAGAGGTAGAGGTAAATTTCTCCAATGTGAGATCAAGAAAGTTCAATTATTATTCATAGATGTAAAATTTTGTTATAACATATAGGTTAAGATATACATTCAAAATTAGGAAATAAATGTTACATTGAAATACATAGATGTGGAAATAGATTTCACACATGGATATAATATTTCGATATCCATTTAGTATTTATAGTTAGCATTTGCCACTTACTGTGAGAAAAAGACATATTTGAAGAAATGAGACATTGAAAGTTAATTTGCTGAATACACTATGCATACCATAACTTATTTTGTGTGCATTGAATATATGTCTATGTGAAACATAACAGGCAGTAATTAATGCTGTGATTCTTCCCAAAAATGTAACGTGTAGCTGGCCATGTTAGCACTGCCACTAGTTCATACTGTACACTTAATGAGATGAAAATGCTCCACACTGTTTGCTTAAAATATTAAAATCTCATGTCTTTATTAAAGCAGATTTTAAGAGGAGATATATTGCTTTGAAAAACATAAAGCATCTCTAATCACCTTCTCCCAGCAGATATTCTTAGTGTTTTGGCTCCAACTTAAACAAGTTCTTCCAGAGAAGGACAAGTCGTTTTCAACACCTCCCTGTGCAGATCTCAGCTAAAAAGTAGGTTACTCCTAAGCACGGTTGTCTCATGCAGCCTTTTTTGTCAGAAGTTCAATCAAAGAAATGACTTCAGAGTTTAGCATGAAAGAAAAGCAAAAAATCATATTTTCTCATCGCTAAAATTATTTAAAACTGAACAATGGTGGGAATTAACAAAATCAGGTAGCTGGGCAATAATAAGACAGCCTCTTGATGAACATACATAAAACTCTTTAAAAACACTTTATTAATACCTTGCGGGTATTTTTTCTTGCAGTGCAACTATTAACAGAAGAGAGAAAAATAAGATCATAAGTACAATTAAGATATAAGAAGAAAAAAAAGATAAGGATCTGAATACAATAAAATAAGGGTCAGAATAAAATAAGGATCACAGTATAATCAATCAACACTATTTACAATGCTGCTCAGTACCAAATTACAATTATTGCACCTGACTGTGTTATTGCACATAGTAAATAATGAAATAAATAAGTTATGAAATGACTGCTTCTAATTTGCAAAATGCCATGCTTTAATCAAACATTTATAGATGGTTTGTTATTAATACTATTGGCTTGCAATATGTATGTCCTCTCATCAGGCTCACTGCAGGGAATTCTATTTAGGCCTATAATATGACTATTTCCTGTTGATCCGTCATTTCCATAAAATGGCCCTGCAGCGTAGCATTTGTAGTAGAATCAGGTCCCAAAATAAGCAATGTCTCCAGCAAGACTTTTATAAATACATTCCTATGCATAACTTTTTAAAATTCTTGCTACTATAAGTTGTTTCTTGTATCAACTGAAAGATTAAGAGCCATAATCTTTCTTTTATGGCTGTTAATTGTTTACACATGAGTTTTGTCCTGGCAAGATCCTGAGGCCTCAGCAGAAGAACAGAAACAGACGACATCACAGAGACACATAGAGACTGTTGGAGTCCCTGTTCAGGAGAAAAATGCTTCAGCCAGGGAATAGAAACATTTGTCAAAGGAGAAACTTCAAAAGCCATCAGTGATTGGTACTATTTAGTTAAAGCACATATCAAACCAATGCATTGCATCTTATTGAAATGATTTAGACTGTCATCTAGCCAGAGAACTTTGCTCATTTTCTCAGTAGGCTTTGATTTTGTCTTTTGAGCTAAAAAGATAAGCATTGAGTTATTCATATATATATATATATATATATATATATATATATATATATATATATATATATATATATATATATATATATATATATATATATATATATATATATATATATATAGATATATATAGATATATATATATATTCTAATTTTGCTTTGTTTTTAATCATGTTTTCTCATTACTAAAACGGTTTCAAACTGAACAATGGTGGGGATAAACAAGTAAGTAATGGTTTTTAGAGTTCATTCAAACCCACTGATATACTTACAGTGTGTTATAGACCTTAAAGAGATGTTGGGCATCTTGGTAGCAGCTGTTGTTCTTAAGTGATGAACTTAACCTTTACTTTGTAAAGGTTTATAATTCAGAGCTGGAGGGAGGAATTAATTAATGTTTTTTGTTGACCTTTTAAAGATGTTTGAAATTTTATGAATGTCGACTCTGAACTAGTGTCTCACGAAATACAAGTTTAGAATACTGTCATACAGGCTTCAATTATGTGTCATTAAAGCCATTCAGCATGCGAAGGCATAACTAGACATCCTAACCAACCTGCTGTTCTAGAAAGGCCTTAGCTTTCCTTTTCACAGGAAAGCATAAGTTACATTTCCCCTCAAAGCGTTTCGTTCTGAGCTCAATTTATGACAAAAACCTTAACCCAGTTTGCTACATGCTCATAGATATTTTCATCTGTGACAAAACTAAATTATTTTAATGAGTTTATTAGTTTAATTTACAATTCATTGGACCAGCAAAAACTGTCCATTGATGCAAATAATGAGTTTGTACGTAGACAGACAGACAGACAGACAGACAGACAGACAGACAGACAGATAGACAGACAGACAGACAGACAGACAGACAGACAGACAGACAGACAGACAGACAGACAGACAGACAGACAGACAGACAGACAGACAGACAGACAGATAGATAGATAGATAGATAGATAGATAGTAGTACAGTAGTACCAATTATCATCTTACTGCTGATTTCTAGATGGCTTCTTTCTATTAAAATCATTATAATTTAAGTCATTATTCTATTGTTCCTGCTATGGGTTTATAAATGGAACAGCACAACTTCTTCTTAAGTGTTCACAATGACACCAAACATTGGAAGTTAAATACTAGTACAGTAATCTTTTTAAATGTGACAGATAAATTAAATGCTATACATTTTGTTGTATAAGGATTGTGTCTCAGACACACTGCTAGTTTGCTCCTTGGAAGGAGAGGTGATGTGTCTTTAGGTAGAGTGAAGTTCCAGCCCTTCATCACTGAAAGGTATGTTTCCTCCTAACCTAGTTTGCCAGCAAGCATTGCTGCTTTCAGGAAGTCACACCTGGCACATTTCTGAAGGAGCCTGACTCGGATCAGACGTTCGCTAAGTTCTTTTAAATGGATGGAATTTGGACTGCCCTTCAGGTTAGTAACTTTATATCTATATTCAAACTGTTGATTTTCATTAAACAGTATTTGCACTGATGATTAGACTTTCAATATTTAATAAACAAAAGTGATTAGAAACTGATAATTTAATCTATAGAAATATAATCCCAGATATATTTATGCTATAGTAAAAAAGGAAATATAAAGTACTGAGATATCAAGACATGGGTGGTTGGAGGTTTAACAAAAATGTATCCAGTCATAGGTTGTCTTTACAATCTAAATCTTAAACATATTCCTGTAGATTTTTGGTGGCGATATAAATCTCTATAGATTATATTCTGGACCTCTATTTTTACTAAGGAAATTTGTATGGGTTTGTCCTTGGAATCAAATTTTCTTTTTTTTTTCATCACCTGATTAAAGAAAATACCTGTCTTGGCCAAACGGGAGACTCATCTGGTGTTGAAGAAGTTCCTTTACAGGCTCATAAGGGATGTTTACAGAGCGGGTGAGGTAAGTCAGGATGTCATTAAATTCACGCTACTTTTCTTTTTCTATTTATTGTTCTAACCTTAACTCTTAAAAATTATTTTGTTGTTGTTTTTGTTGAATGTACAGAATAATAGCTAATTTAATCCACTTTCTCTCCCTCAGCCCAGTAATGGCAATGAGATTTTCTATGATGCCAAAATCAAGCTGTCGAGCAAAAGCATGAGTGCAATCCGTTCGTTTCTGAGGGATGCAGACAGTTCAACAACAGAGCCTCTGGATGATGCTCTAAGTGGCATTCTGGTGGACATTACTCGTACTCGCATGAGTTTGTTACCCGGTCCAGAATTGATCGATGGAGGCGATCGCGGCCTAATATTAGCAGTAAGCAGATTCATTTTATAGGATCTTATTTCAGATATACACACACACACACACACACACCCACACACACACGCACACACACACAAACACACACACGTTGTGTCACAATATCCTTGTGGGGACCGTCCATTGACTTCCATTCATTTCCCACTAATTTATATGGCCTAACCGTGACCCTTGCCCTATCCCTAACCATTACCGACACATACCCATCCCTAAACCTAACCTAAACTCAATTCACACCTTAGTCCTAAACCTAACCCCCACCCCAAGAAGAGAAACTACTTGTGGAGGTACTTGTGGGGACCAGTTGTTGGTCCCCACAAGTACCTATGAGTCCCCAAAATGTAGCATATTCCTAGGAAATTGTCCCCACCAGGTATTCAGATAGCTGTCAAATATAGTTTCACAAGAGAAGCATTTTCCATCTTGTTTACCCAGGTTTATTCCTCTCTTTTACAGGTTGGGTGCTCATTTATCTTTGGGTTACTCATATTCATGATCAAGGATCAGTTAAGAGTTTCCTGGTTCAAAATGTTCTCCACATTATTTTTTTTCTTCTTCTTTGTCAGTATTCCTTGGAACTGGATGTATTTATACAAGGTAAAAAAGCTCCTTCAGTTCACATTTAGCATTACAGTATATTTATTAAGAATATAACTATTTTTATTTTTTTTTTAAATATATTTGATTAGGAGGCATTTGCAAAGCACAGGAATTCAATAATAAGGATGGAAAAATTAAATGAACGATGCATGGGACTAAAGGACATCGGCTGGTTTGACACTCTTCGGTAAGAAAAGGAAAAAACTAAAGATAAACACAGATTCTGTTTTTGGTTTACTTAAGATGATTATTATGTATGTTTTCTGAAATGAAAGTAGTTCTATGATTAAGTCAAGTTAAACAAAAGTGAATAAATCCTTATTTACTGTGGAAAGCTAGTATGGTTTTATAGCAGCTGCTGATGCTCACTAAACCTCAGGCAGACTTTAATCTTTCCCGAGAATCTTCCGGAGTGATCAGTCATAGACGTTCCACCAAGGTGGCCAATGACTCAGCATTTAGGTGCTCACACAGGGAAGCATTCGACCTTCAAATTAAAAGACTCCCTGCTTGGCATTTTAAGTTAGGTTTTTTTGTACCTAGGAAGTCAAGCTTTATTAACAATTAAAACTTATCAAATGGGAACCATCTCTGATTGTCCAGTAGACACACTAATCTTCCTGTGTAGTCAGAATGTGTCAAATTTCAACTGTCAACATGAGGCCCAACAGGAGGAAATCCTATTTCCACAATAACTCTCTGTGCTGCAAGTTATTTCAAAAGACTTGTTGGTTAAGATTCTCAGTCATCCAGATCATAGTCTTTTTTTTTTTTTTTTTTTTTGGAATTCAAAAGATTTTCTTGAAAAACTATGTAAATCCCCCCAGAAATACATTAGAAGCAATATGACACAAATTGAACAAGTGGAAAGCTGCCTCTACCTGCTCTCTAAACTCAATTGTAGAGATGTAAATACAATATGCAAGCAAATCTGTAACTCTGTCTGGCCATCAATTCATAAATCTACCTTCTACCGGTTGTCTTTCAGAGTGAAGCGCTTATGGTGTCTATCTGCAGCAGTCTATATGGGCAAAAGACTATACATCATGAAAATGTCCACAATCAAACACAAGAAAATTAAAAGAAAGCATGATCTTTGGAAATTTTTTAGATGGCGGTATATCCTATTTTTGGTTTTCTGTATAAATTTCATATGTGTGCATCCTCTCCTGGTACTTTACCTTCCTCCTATAGCCCGTCGTCATCACTTTGGCAACAAACCCTCTGTAACCCTGCAAAGACAAGGATAGATGAAGAGAAGGATAGGTGGACTAACTCCTCTAATAAAATATAAAATAGAACAACTTTGAGGATGTTGGCAGCTTGTTTTATATGCTATTAATCCATTATACTGTTGTGTCATTCTAGCGACTTGCATAGCTTTGCACAAAAAATGTCAGAGACTGTCACATGAGAAAAGATGAGGGAACACGATGATGTCCAAGAGATTTCAGGTTTCTGTTCTAGGATTGTGGCTATTGTTTGACATTCAAACTCCATTTAAAAAGCCAAAACTTATCTGTTACGCTAAAAGTTTTATTGCTGCTCCACTGCTCAGAAACTCCTCCTGAACTCATTCACCTGGTCCTAGCAACAATTAAATGAAACATTGAACTGCGGATGGTCATGGCCAAGTTAATGCAACATGAAACAGTCCATCTATCAAAAATCTAATCTAATCTTTAAATCCACATGGTGTTTATTAGTTGATGAAATAGCATCTGCAGCATATGCATGGTACTGTAGCTCTCATGCACTGGACTTGGACACCACCGAGTTTTGATAATATTTAAAACAACAGCAGAAAAACCCCAACTTTGGTCATACCTAACTGCCACGCTCACCCAAAGATAATTAACAAATCCTGAGACAGTGTAGTCACCAAATGTTTATAAAGCAATCTTTTGGTCTAGAAATAATCTCAGATTAAACAAGCTCTACATTGAACTTAGTAATAGGTTATAGGGCAGAAGCTCTCTAAGAAAAAGGATCCTATTCATCTTTCATCATATTTTAACAAAAAGTACTACATACAGAACAAGGGTTGGTGTTGAAGCATAAAAAAAAAAGTATTTATACTTGTTTATTCTGTTTTTTTTTTATATATATATTTAGAATTGGCAAGAGGATAGTGCTAAATATATTAGGCTAAAAAAAACAAAAAATTCCAACCTTTTTGTATGTGCTAAAAGGAAAATTAACTTAAGCATTTGTTTTTTTTTCTACTTTTGTTATTTTCAGGAGGGTATAGAAGCTTTTTTACTCTTCAAGATGACCCTTGTGAGAAAATCCTAAGAGAAATCTTAATTGATCCCCTCTCCTCGGTTTCTCCACTCAAGGTAAAACACACCTGCTGGTTTGAAAGTTGCCTGTTAAAGAACAATTTTCTGTTCTTCTGAAAAGTATCATCAAAGTATCATTTGGCCTATAAAAAGCCAATGCTTACATCATCTTTCAAACCTAAGGTAAAATGGGGCTAAAATTGCATTTTTCAATCAGGTATATATACATACAGAAATTTTTTTTAATTTTTATAATTTATTCCCCTTATAACTATCAAGCAATTGTTAGAGTTTTATTCACCATTAAATTTTGGATTTGGGATTTTTAGTAAAAATGTTAAAGCCAATCATATTCTGTAAACAGAAGTGACCATAAGGAGGTAATGTATTGAGAGAAGTGCAAATGGTTTTCTAAATGCATGACATGCCCTTGCAATAGTGAGTGAGTAATGGTGAATGTTTTAGCCCTCCTTTTATTTGTTACTCTTACTCTTCTAACTACACATTTAAAATACCAGTTAAATAAAACAGCCATTTTTTCCCTATAGTTTATAAAGGACAAAGAAGGCAAACAGATAAATATGTTTACAGTTAGTGAGAGAGTTATATTAATTTGGGTTTTTAGAAACAATTTTGTCATCACACAAATTTAGGTTGACTAATATCAGGAAAGCTGTAGAAAACCAAGTAAAGAAAACTGGCAGCATAAAATCGGCTAGCTTTACAGTTATTCATCTCAAAAGCACCCAGAAAAAAAATGAATGGCACCTATTAAGAAACATATTGCAAAAAGTTTAATCCTGAAATTATTATTTTTTTTCTCTTATCAGGTATTTTTCTATACCATTACAACTTGCATTAAAGAGCCACTGAAACCCTTAGGAGAAGGTTTAGGGGAGTTTTTCCAAGCACTCCTCAAAGATCTACCAATAATCTCCTGGATACCAGTCCTTATCATTGTCCCGTTGTGCTTTCTGGTAAAGTCATCATGACACTCACAAACATATTTCATCCAAAATACAGGTGCTGGTCATAAAATTAGAATATCATGAAAAAGTAGATTGATTTCAGTAATTCCATTTAAAAAGTGAAACTTGTATATTATATTCATACATTACATACAAACTCATATATTTCAGATGTTTATTTTGTTTAATTTTGATGATTACAAATGACAACAAATGAAAATCTCAAATTCATCATATCAGAAAATTAGAATATTACTGAAGACCAATAAAAACAAAGGATTTATAGAAATGTTGGCCAACTGAAAAGTATGAACATGAAAAGTATGAGCATGTACAGCACTCAGTATTTAGTTGGGCCTCCTTTGGCCTGTATTACTGCAGCAATGCGGCGTGGCATGGAGTCGATCAGTCTGTGGCACTGCTCAGGTGTTATGATAGCCCAGGTTGCTCTAATAGTGGCTTTTAGCTCTTCTGAATTGTTGGGTCTGGTGTATTGCATCTTCTTCTTCACAATACCCCATAGATTTTCTATGGGGTTAAGGTCAGGAGAGTTTGCTGGCCAATTAAGAACAGGGATACCATGGTCCTTCAACCAGGTACTGGTAGCTTTGGCACTGTGTGCAGGTGCCAAGTCCTGTTGGAAAATGAAATCTGCATCTCCAAAAAGTTGGTCAGCTGCAGGAAGCATGAAGTGCTCTAAAACTTCCTGGTATGTGGCTGCGTTGACCCTGGACCTCAGAAAACACAATGGACCAACACCAGCAGATGACATGGCACCCCAAACCATCACTGACTGTGGAAACTTTACACTGGACTTCAAGCAACGTGGATGAAGTGCCTCTCTTCTTTTCCTCCAGACTCTGGGACCTTGATTTCCAAAGGAAATGCAAAATTTACTTTCATCAGAGAACATGACTTTGGACCACTCACCAGCAGTCCAGTCCTGTTTCTCTTTAGCCCAGGCAAGACGCTTCTGACGCTGTCTGTGGTTCAAGAGTGGCTTGACACAAGGAATGCGACAGCAGAAACCCATGTCTTTCATACGTCTGTGTGTGGTGGTTCTTGAAGCACTCACTCCAGCTGCAGTCCACTCTTTGTGAATCTCCCCCACATTTTTGAAGGGGTTTTGTTTCACAATCCTCTCCAGGGTGCGGTTATCTCTCTTGCTTGTACACTTTTTTCGACCACATCTTTTCCTTCCCTTCGCCCCTCTATTAATGTGCTTGGACACTGAGCTCTGTGAACAGCCAGCCTCTTTAGCGATGACCTTTTGTGTCTTGCCCTCCTTGTGCAAGGTGTCGATGGTCGTCTTTTGGACAACTGTCAAGTCAGCAGTCTTCCCCATGATTGTGTAGCCTATAGAACTAGACTGAAAGACCATTTAAAGGCTTTTGCAGGTGGTTTGAGTTAATTAGCTGATTAGAGTGTGGCACCAGGGGCCATCAATTTTGAACCTTTTCACAATATTCTAATTTTCTGATATGATGAATTTGAGATTTTCATTTGTTGTCATTTGTAATCATCAAAATTAAACAAAATAAACATCTGAAATATATGAGTTTGTATGTAATGTATGAATATAATATACAAGTTTCACTTTTTAAATGGAATTACTGAAATCAATCTACTTTTTCATGATATTCTAATTTTATGACCAGCACCTGTATATTTGTTTTACTATGTTTACTGGCTGGATGTCTTGCAGATACCTCTTTCTGGAGGCATACCAAGAGTTTTCCAGCTCTTTGTGAGACGTATGATACCCCTTGGGGGAGTTCTTTTACCTGAAAATGCACAACGCCAAGATGACAATGTCAGGTTAGAACAAAATGCCGTCAATCAAACACAACCTGGAAGAGCCATGGAAGAGCCCCGTACTGAATGTTTAAACAGTGCCGACCTATCAAGTGAGGAGCCTAGAGAAGCTGCGGGGAACCAGGGGGGCTCTGAAAACCAGCCTGAGGTCAAAAAAGAGAGACTTGTTACTACGCCAGACCAACCGGAAGCCAATCAGACCATATTAGTGTTAGTAGAGAACAAACAAATAAAAACACAGAGGAAAGGTTGTTATGATGAACCTTACAGAAGGCGTCCAACCCCTACACATCAGCCAATAGAAATGCACCATGGTTGGATACGTTCAGGTGAGTGATTTAAATATTCATGCTGCTAGATCAAACTAATAATTTGACAGCATCTGTTTGCTCTTCATTTCTGGCTGTTAACAAAATTTATCCAAACGATTTCTGACATAAATGCAGAACAACCTTTGAGTTTTAAATATTATGTTTTGTTTACATGTGGGGAAATGATGCATCCAGAAGCCTTACCAGGAGAAGAGAGAAGCTTGCCATCACTGAGATTCATGAAGGCTGAAATTGCTTCTGCTCAACAAACATCAGCAGTTGCACTGGATTAAATACATGTTTTATAGCAGCAGTTTAACAATATCTGTATTTGTTATAATTTAGTTGATTTAATTGGACTTTCCAAGTTTACTGAATGAGAACAATTAGATTGAAAATTAGACACTGAGCAGAGCAATTCACTGTCTGGTCTGCGGTGTTGCTATCCTAAAAGTGTGCTGCATTTGGGGGACTTTATATTTAATCAATTCTAGGTTTAACTGGTTTGGTTCAGGTTATTTTATTTTTCTGCTTCCCTTTTTGCTATAATGATGGTGGTGGAATCACAATTAAAGTTAGCTTTGCAAAGCAAGAATATTCAGTTAATTATCATAAACCTGTTTTAACTTGAAAATTTAAACACCTTGTTCCAATAAAAAATATGTACAACTTTTAGAAACTTGTCATTTGAGTCATTTCTGGATACTGGTATTTTTTCTTTCTCTGTTTTTAAAGAAAATGTTATGACTGCAAAATACAAGAAGTGTGATTTTTAAATCTTCCATTCCCATCACCCCTTTTTGTTACACCTTGGCAGTGTCCGAACATCCACCCTAAATCCCTCAAACACTACATACAGCAGGGACTATATAGTGAACTTTTTAGTGACAACAAATCCCATGGGGCTTTGTGAGGAGAGCTCTCCAGGCAAAGCATTCTGGGATATATCTGCTCATCTAGTGACCATGGATGATAAGTACTTGTCAAAGTGCATTGTTCTAAATTACGAGTCCACTACTTTTTCATCCACTAGACATTCGGACACTCATCTAAAATGGCGTAACCACTATACAGTGCCCTATATGGTGGTTAGGGCGGACATTTGGCCACAGCCCATGGTTGTGTTCAGGCTGCATCCTCCCAGGACCCGGTCTATCTGAGCTGTGTCCAAATGTCAACCCTATATCTGACATATCTGACTCAATAACCATTTAAAATAACTATTTTCATTCATTTCATAGCTATTCACATACTTGAATTATATTAAACTGCACTTCCAATATTCAGCACTATTCACCAAGGCTTCGTAGGATACACTCGACCTGTCCTTCAAAACAGGCAAAAAGAAGGCAGCATTTGTCGGCTGCATAATGAGGAGTCTTCCAATCTGAACAGACCTCGGCACTGCTCTATAATGTAATTGGCCCACAAATCTAGCCTTCAAAGGACGCAGCCGTTGAATTCGAACCTCAGCACATGGATGATCACTGCTCCTCAAAGAGCATTGTGGGCGATTTTGAGTCCACTACTTTTTCATCCGCTAGACGTTTGGACACTCATTTAAAATGGCGTAACCACTATATAGTGGACATTTGGAAACAGCCTTTATGTCTCCACCAACACCCACCCACACCCAATACATATACAAGAAGCACACAACTGTTGCTTTCACCAACAATCAACACATTTTTCAAAAATATATGTTCAGTCCAGATTCATTAAGAAAAGAAAGCTGTACATGCAGAGGAAATTGACAATGCACAATGTAATCTAAACATTTGTATGATTAATTTATGTTTTGCAGATTTCTAATCGCTTTAACCCAATCGATTAGTTTCTTCACTCATTAATTGACATTTCAAAGGAATGCGTTTATATCAAGCAATGAATTCATAATAGAGCTGATGCCGATATATGCACCTGGCAATGTTTGTCTACTTATAAGTAAAAAAATCAAAACAACACAAGATATGATATTAGAGATAACTCAAAGTTTTCTATTCTAATATTTTCTATCTTTGTATTGTACATCTGGGGTCACACTTTTTGCTAAGAAATGAATGTAAAGTGTAACAGAAGACCTATGAGGACCAGAGAGGGAACAATCTAACAGAAAGTTATGTCCAAAATTCAAAGATCAAACACTAAAATAAAGTAAGACAAACACAAACAACAAACCAATAAGTCAAAAACTTAAGGAACATAAACAACAGCAAAATAAATGAAACCGAGACCCAAGAGAAACCCAAAGCCCAAAGGATTGTGACAAAGCTGGAGCTTACAACTTGGCAGAGGTGAAGATGTAAAAAGCCAAAAAGGTAGATATGTGATGGAGCTTTTTGAACCAGGAGAGCCCCAAAACACAATGTAATTGTTTCTTTCCAAGTTTTTATTATGTTCTCATGTACAAAAATGTTATCTTTATGTATCTATTTTATTTTATTTATCTGTTTATCTTGAAAGTTACCTTTGTTATCAGGTGCAGCAGCCTTTCCACTGATCAAAATGAATCCAAAAACATTCTTTACATGCATATTGTATATCCACTTATTATTTCATTTTATTCCAGTGGAGTTCACTGTAATGATATCAGTTACAGTTAAAACTCAGATTTCAATTTAGAACTTACCCTCATTTGAAAAATACTATACATTTACTAATAAATACTTATCTCAAAGTGTTTAATCACATTTTCAAAGAATGCTTAAGGTATTTATGCATGGTTTGTGATGATAGCTTTTCAAGGCTGTAGGTTTTGTACTCTTTCTTTAACTAGAATCATTTAAGTTAAGACTGATTTTAAGAGATTGGCTTGCATTCTGCATGAAAACAGACATGATTTGTTTATTTGTTTGGGAAATATTGTGTCTATTAAACAAATAAAAGCCTGACAGGATAATCCTGAGGTTTTGTCCTATTCGGATACTTTTTTGATAATAACAAATAAAATATTGTTAGTATCTAAAGTAGTTTTCGGAATTGCTGTCCTCAAAACATTATACATTTTTGAAGAAGCTGAAGAAATAATCTAAAATAGGGTAGTTATTTTACTAATTTGATGCAAAAAACTCAAAGTCAAATTATATATTTGCCATAGCTTTGAAAAATTATATTTTCTATTAAAGGGCACAACAATGGGTGTTTGTGTTTAAAGCAATGTAAATTTTGAGGAATTTGTATTGTATTGTATTGTAATTGTACTCTATTGTATTGTATTTTGCATAATAAAATTTCAACAATTATCTACAAGTAGTAGAAATTGTTGTGAAGAAGCATATGTTAAGAGAAATTTGTTAGAACAATAGTAAAAAAAACAAAACAAAAAAAGGAGCAGCCAGCATAAATAGCACAAAATGTATGTATGAATTCATTTTATAATTATTTCTTTATAATTAATATTTAATGGTTTTTTTCTATTGATCTGTGTTTTTTTTAATCCTTTTAACTTTTTTTTAAAGAGAAATTAGTTAGGATAATAGAAAAAAAGGAGCAGCCAGCATAAATAACACGAAATATATGTATAAATTAATTTTATAATTATTTCTTTATAATTAATATTTACTGTTTTTTTCTGTCGATTTGTTTTTTTTTTTTACATCCTATTAACTTTTTTTTTTTTTTTTTTTTAAGAGAAATTAGTTAGGATAATAGAAAAAAAGACAAAAAAAGGAGCAGCCAGCATAAATAACACGAAATATATGTATGAATTAATTTTATATTTTTTTCTTTATAATTGATATTAACTGTTTTTTTCTGTCGATTTGTGTTTTTTAAATCCTATCAACTTTTTTTCCATAGAAACATGAATTTCTTTTAAGTACTTTTACCTTATTTTTTTGGCGCTCCATATCAGGTTGTCTGATCCCAAATTGCGCACCTGCGCGCCGCTTGGAATCCGCTCGCTCATTGGCTGGGTGGATGCTCAGCAGTCACGCAGAAAGTTTAGCTGCACTTTCCTCCGCGTAAAGTGACGGTGAGCACTGTCGTAACCCCACTCGGGTAAATGGTGCTTCTCAAGGGGCTCATCGAAAATGGAGTTACTAGTTCGGTATCTGGACAGGAGCAACTCTATTGGGTAAGTTCCTATAGATAAAAAGTCATATTTGTGTTACTTTATGTCTGTCGTTAAAGCGCCTGCCCGGTTTTACCCTCCAGGTAAATAAAAAGCAAAGTAAAATTATATTTAAACCTAACCTGGCCTATATTTCTCTAAAACTCCCCTGAAAACATTTGTCCGAATGCTTTTAAAATATATATATGCGCTGTAACTGTAGTTGGCAAATCATTGGGAAAATATTGAGAGCAGGCCCCTCTCTTGCCTTGGACTTGAACCTTGGAAACATCATGAAAGCAAGCACTGTCCTCACTGTTTGCAGTTTTTCTCCCCTTTACTCGAACCAACAGAAACTTGGTGACATTGCTGCTTTCTCACACTTTCACTTCTGCATTATTGTCCAGAGAGCTTGATTTTGATATCTGCACAGGAAAATGAGCTACAAATTACAGATTGGAACTGTGTTGAAGAGAAAAAACACACTTTAATGGTTATCTCTGAAGTGTGCATGTACCGCAGTTACACACAAGTAACCGTTTCCTGTTTGCCCCTACCTTATGTTGCTCTTTTTGTTGCAGCTCTGACACAACTCAAGATCTTATCAAGGAAGAGAGCCTGAGAGATGACCTGAGGTACTACTTCATGAGCCCCTGTGAGAAGTACAGGACCCGTCGACACATACCATGGAAAATGGGGGTCCAGATTTTGAAGATTGTCATGATCACTACTCAAGTATGTGTAGTTTCATTTCCAGACTTTTAGGATTACAGGAAACAACCTCAATCTGAGATGGATCAACATGATAATTTTGAATTTATGACATATCTAAGTAAACTTTTCGCTCACAAACGAAATGCAAACTTGTTTGAGTAAAAAAAACAAAAAACTAAAAACACTTATTTTTAAGTTTTAGTTTGTGTGCCCTTTACTGGCTTCAGTTTATTTTCTTTTAGATGCAAACAGCAACCGCTGTCTGCGATGAAAGCAACTTGCTAAATCAAATCTCAGTGGGGGGAAAAAGGGAATGTAAAATGATTTTTATTTTTCTTCCAATAAAAGCTAGTTTGTCGAATAGCATCTCTCAATGCTCAAAGTATTGAATCTGGGTTGAAGCGACAAAGGGCCTCCTTTTGGGTATCCGCAATGACAGGAAACAGTTGTTTCAATTTCCACAGCCTTGCCAAAGCTGGACAGTAACAGACTGACAAACATTTTTAGCTCTATGATTCTTTTTGTTCAGTCTGGGCCAATCTCAGATGAATGTTTCTGAACACCTTGTTGAAACTTTACCATAATATTTTCAACTCTGTACCACCAAGGTGTACCAAATAATTTGGACCCTGCTCAAAAAATGAAACTATACCCTGAATAATGCTGGTAGACTTTGTGTTTACTGTCCATTCTTATTTTATTTTATTTTCAAGCTCATTCTGTTTGGCCTCAACAACCAGCTAGTGGTTGCCTATAAGGAGGAAACTACCATGGCCCTGAAAAACCTTTTCCTGAAAGGCTACACTGGAGTGGATGAGGATGACTATAGTATTGCTGTCTACACGCAGCATGCCGTCTTCGACAGGCTGTTTTACGTCCTTGATCAGGCAAGTTTTTTTTTTTTTTTTTTTTTTTTTTTTAAATCTGGTATTTATTAAAACTGAGGAAAGATGATTATTCATGACTTGAACAAAAATGAACAAACTGGATGATGAAGTTTAATCAATTCTTCCTGCATTTTAACTGTCCAGTTTCTAGGAAATATTTCCAGAGTCACCAATTTAACTAAATTATCCTTTAGATATTGACATATTTTCATCATACTATACTATTTAGTATAAGCCTGTTGGTGTGTGTGTGTGGGGTGGTCGGGCGTTGGAGAGTCAACCAAGGCGCCATGGTAACTTTGAATAAATTTCAAATATTCAACTCTCAATTGGGAGAATTTGTCCTTTGGACATTTTTTTTTTTTATTATGCACCCCTTAAATCTGGCATTCATGGGTCCTCACAAGAATGCCATTTTTGAAAGAAAGCAGTAAGGAATGGAGTTTACAACAAGCCAGGGATGTTACTACAGAAATTTACAACAGGAGGTGCTGTTCTGTTAGAGATTGGAATTACGAAATGGAATGACCTCGTCTAAACTTTATTTTATTATATTTATTATATTGAAATTTAAATGGTATCACTGTTTGTTCCTGACATTTAGCAGTCATAAAATGTTCAAAGCGGTTTCTTTAATAAATGTTAAGTGATTGTTTAATCTCTATTAATTATGGCATGATAAACAGCCTGCTGTGGTGGAAGTGCAAGGAAACCTTCCTCCCCATAGAATACTGAGAGACACTGTGCTTTACCTGAGGCCTGTGATATTTACAGTATAGCCAGCTGGACCAGCTCTCTGTGGGGCCGATCAGTTATGCTGAGGATGAAGATGGAAAGCTGCTGCCTCTCACCATCTGTAAAGAGTACTACAAAAGAGGCAGCCTTGAGCCTTCTACTGAGTCTTATAATATTGATGCCCGGCTAGAAACAGGTAGTTTTTATAATCGAAGTTTAGCAATCGTCAACTTGAACAAAATTTCTAAAAGCAGCCCCCCCTTTTTTTTCTTCTTTCCATTCTTTCAGTCTGCATGTCACATGATCCAAGGACTGCGAACATGTGGAGAATCCAGAATACATCATTTTTCGATTTGGACTTTTACAGGTATGTTGTGTTGTTTATGTAATATATGCATGTGTGTATACTTATCATGTAACTCTTCAACAGTGATTTTTATTTTGTAGGCTTGTTGACATCAAAATAACGTTGCAGCTGAAGGGAATCAACCTGCAGACAGTTCGACACCGGGAGCTACCTGACTGTTATTCCTTCTATGTTACGGTTAGGGTTGTCACGACACTAAAATTTCAAACTCGAATGTTGACACCCAGGAAAATATTTGATATTTGATGTCGTAGAAATAACAAATGGCATAATAATAATTTATCATGAAAAACTCAACTTTTCAAGGTTAATGTGTCAAACATGCAAACGTTTGTATTTGGTATTGATATCATTCCAAATAGGTATTGAATTCAGATACAGTGTTTGAGTATCTATACTTTGTTAAAGTATCAATACTTTTTCACTACTTTTGAGTGAAAATGCACCACTTGGTACAAACCTAAAATTCTTTTGGCTCAGTCTTTTTTTTTTTCCCTGTTAGATCACATTTGATAACCAGTGTCATAGTGGGAAAGTAAAGTTATTTCTGGATATAGATGCTGAAAGCAGTGCATGCAAAGACTGGAAGATATCTGGAACAGGTGAGGAAAACTAGGCTAGTTTTACTGCAGATTACAGAAGCAAATGTTTTATCTGAACTAAAATAATTTTCTTTGGTTTCATCACAATTGAACGCTCTTCCTATCTCATACTTAAATACTTTCATTTAAGCATATCTAACAAGACTTGCTTCTTGAAGTTTTTTTCTGTTGGAAGGCGTTTTCTTAGGCTCGTATCAGTAGTGAGTGTGAGGGAGTTGTGTCTGAGATAAGCACGCACTAAGCCACTTTTTATTGTCCTTTTCAGCTCAGAAGAACACGCATTATCTGCTGGTGTTTGATGCCTTCGTCATTCTGGTTTGCATAACATCAGCCGCATTATGCACCCGCTCTATCATACTGGCTGTCAGGTTACTCCAGGTCATCTATGAAAAATGATCATGTTATTTTGTTGCAGTCCTCTAATCAACAACTTTCTATATTTTAGTTCTAGATTGTTTGTAGGAAAATCTTCCCTGATCAAAATAAACCGTATTAAAAAATAAATGGCAAACCTAATCTATCAAATTAAAGTACTTAAGATCTACTTATGCTTGCTGATTAAACTGTTTTAAAATGCTAATTTAATCTGAATTTCTGCCTTTATGTTTTTTCTAGAGATTCTCACAATTCTTTCAAGAGCACTTCCATCGGAAAGTGTGTGAAGATGACCAGAGTGAGTTTCTAAATGGCTGGTATGTGTTGGTCATCATCAGTGACCTGCTGGCAATAATTGGATCAATACTGAAGATGGAAATTCAAGCAAAGGTAAGCTTGATAAGATGTTGACTTTAATGACACCTGATTTCTTTTGCTTATTGTAACTAAACCTCATGTTACAGCATATGGAAAACGGCCTGTATTTAAATAGCACCTTTAATGTCCGGGAATTCAAAACCCCCTTTAAACAGCGTTCAGTAATTTACACACTGAGCATTTTCTTGCCTCAGAGTATTCAACCAAAGAGGGCAGTGCTAAGTGTTTGGATGGGTGGGGTAATTGTCAGTGAATTTGATATGACTTAATAAATTGAAACACTATGCTAACTAATAGGTAATAAAATACTAATTTAAAAACTACGGATCAATGTTTACAGTGCTTGGAATTCAAACTACTGATTCATCACAGGGGTGTGCCTAAGTGGGATGGTATTTTTTCACCCTCCCACATTATGTTATAGTGGCCATATACAAGCAATCGATTATAAGTGTCCACAAGCAGGAAACTGGAATACGATCACCCAGGGCATTATGTTACTGACTTCCATATTCTAAGATAAATTGAATGCACCATTCTACCGTAATCTAAGGGCTGTGCTGTAAACTTAATAGATAATATGAACGTTACCGCAGGAGGCACATCTCAACATGGAGGGCAGCACTAAGACCAGTTTAGGCAAAATACTACATAAGCAAATGGGTTTACAAAAAAAATGTGGAAATGTTGAAGAGTATCCTAAATATAGTACCCAGAGTCTGCCCATCTCTGGCTCGGTGTGTCTCTATAATGAGGATTATAAACATCCAGCCTTCAGCCTTTGTTGCTTTGGTCATATACTGCTTACCTTAAACAAGAGGGCTGTTTGTTTTTTTGGGGAGCTGTAAGACGTTTATGGCAAAAAGCTATTGTTATGGATAGATTTGGACAGCTTTAGAAATTAAATGTCTCTAATGAAATTAACCACACCCCCACCACCACTATTATTGTAAAATAGCAATGCTACAAAAGAACAAGAAAGAGGGGAGGGGGAGGGAGGTAGGGGAATAACTTTTCAAATGTTTTCTTCTTTATCAATTTTATTTTTTTGTTTTATTTTTTTTTTATATTTTTCAATTATCAATACAATTGTTAAGTAAAGTGATGTCAAGGCATTGCTCTAATAAAATGGCAGTTAAAAAAAAAACACTTACTGCAGTTATCATATTTCAAATAACCATTTCTCTTGGTTGTGCTTGAACCACCATCCTATAAGGACCATAAATTTGTCTTACAACCATTTTTAGTATATTTTTGGTTGTTTAATAGTATTGGGCAAATTGTTTAACAAATTTGACCATAAATAAAGTGGATGTGTCGCTGGTTAGTTTGTATCAGTGATCTGCTGTCCCTAAGGTTTGGAGCTTGAATCATTCCTTTTAACAACTTCATAAATATATACATTTTTGTTGTTTTGGGTATTATTGTCTCTTGCAGTTCTAAATTCAAATGATCAACATTTACTAGTGGCAATCAGCCGGTTTGAATATCCACATTTGCTAGAAAATTAAGTTAATTGATCATCCAAATTAATTAGCTCTTAAAGGCAAGTAGTCCTTGGTTAAAATTATCTTGTGACCAGAATATATCCTTTGTGAATTACTTTTTAATTAGAATAAAAAGTTATTTATTAGAATATGCTAATATTCATAATTGGATAACAATAACACATGATGTATTAGATTATTCCTGCAGGCAGTTATGATTTAAAGATCTGATCCTTTTGTAAAACATGTTTGCCCATTCAGAGGTTTAGAAGCTATGCTGGTTAAAGTGAATGGTCATTTTCTCCTCATCCAGAAATTGTGGCATTCTTTGAATTCATTCTGTTCAAATGGAGACGTTTAGTGTTAATTATACAGATAAATGTAGTATAACCTTTGATTTTTACATCTAGTTATTTCCTGACTGTGTAATAAACTTTCCAGTAGGCGCTTGTATAATCTTTAGTGACCTTTGGCATGAAATCCCAGCATGTTCATAAACAAGCTGAATGATATAAAGTTAATTATTAATGACAAATTCTGTGTGTAAAATAATTTTTTGTGGACTTTAAAATACTATTATGAATATAACTATGTAGTTTGCTGTGAATATTGTTCAAATGTTTGATCAATTGTGTGTTAACTTCCTGCTGGACTTACCGTTAAAGTTGCATGCATGATTTACCTTTTGGTTACAAGGAGTTTAATTTTTCTTAAAGAACTCTGAGCATATTTTCTAATGCTGCCATCATACTCTTTATTTTTATCCGAATTTCTGTTATTTTGCCACCTGTAGAGTCTGACAAGTTATGATGTCTGCAGCATCTTCCTTGGAACCTCTACATTACTGGTATGGGTTGGTGTGATCAGGTACCTGGGATACTTCCAGAAATATAATGTAAGTTCAGAGTGTTTTTGTTCTTTAGGATTTTTTGTAAACTCGGTTTTTGGTTGCCTTTTGAATGCGTTTAGTCATTGACACCGATTTGCACGTGGACCTGTTAATAGTCTGTTTTTTTTTTCAGAAACATGGCCTCTAAAATGTTTGAGGAAAATCATGATTAAATATTTCTTCTTAAAGGCTGAAACCTAATTTCATGAATGCATTTAGGTCCTGATTTTAACAATGAAGGCAGCCTTTCCTAAAGTTCTTCGTTTCTGCTGCTGTGCTGGCATGATCTACCTCGGTTACACGTTCTGCGGGTGGATTGTACTGGGACCGTACCACGAAAAGGTTGGTATATAATGGGTTTTTAAAGGCTCTGCTTAGACATGAGGGTTTGTTTGAAACCCTGCACTGAGTCATGCTGTGAGAGGTGTGAAGCAACTCTAACCATAGAGGAAATATAACGTCTGTGTTTTTTTTTTGTTTTTTTTTGGTGACTAATGCTGTTTTTCCTCAATAAATGTTGAGGTCACATGTTCCTGTGGTTAAACAAGGGAAATCTAAATGTCTGAAAGTGTTTCCATTGAAATTCCACTTTTATTATGCAGATTTACCAGAGTACATAAGCTATTTATGTCAGCATTTTTGGGGGAAAAAATGAGGAAATGAATCGGCAGCCCTCTCCTGCATTACTAAACAAGTCAAATTTTTATTTGTACTTTCTGGACATTGCTCCTTATATCTGAGCTTTATAAATTAAAAAGCCAAAACCATTTTGTTTTGAGTTACTAAAAGAAGTTTCTCTTACAAAAAAAGACTAAATGGTCCTTCATTTTTGGATCAAATGTCCCATTCCCATATCTCTAATGCATTTTGTTTCAAAGAACTAGTTTATGTTGAATAACTTGAAATCAAGGAATTTTACTTGATTTATTTACTTTGATCTCATGCCCTACATCAGAGTGTTAGAATGTAAATATTGAGTTTGTGAAAAAAAATTAAAACCTGGGTAAAGGCATGGTCCTGCACACTTAGAAAAGGTCTAAGAGTGATGTTTTTACTTCAGATTATGCATTATACCTTTTTTTTTTTTTTTTTTTTTTTTTATATATATTGTGGAAAACAAAACAAATACAATGAACACATGTAAAAACATTTTAGATAAAATGATTTTCATATTCAGGAGGTGCATAATATTTTAGTATGTCTAGTGGAACTGCTTGCTTGCTGCATGATTGATGGATGGGAAAACAGAAATAAAGATATTAGATTTAAAGCAACTGAATCTTAAGTTTCTGTAAGAGTTCAATGCAACCACTAGATGTCAGTGTGTGTTTTTTTTAATTTTTTTTTAAATTTTTTCTCTCCTTTTGTTTTGTTTTTTCCCAATTCAGTTCAAATATACTTTAAGTCCTAAAGGAAACTTGAATAATAATTAAGAAAATATTACAATTATTCCGATTTCCTTATGATGGTTTCCTTCAGTGCTTTACAGGCTGTTACTATGTGATATTCTGCTCTGTATACATGTCTTGTTAAGATTAGAATACTTTCTAATAAAAAAAAAACAAATTATTGTTAGGCTGCCATACACCTAGTATTAAATAAATCTTGATATTTATCTTTGAAATTATGATTAGAAAACTAAAGGTGAACACGTATGCTCTTTTCAGCTTACAGTTAAAGAAACTAAGGAATGTATGCAGAAAAACTGTAGAGCATGCATTTGTGAAGAACACTTCAAATGTTTTGGCACTTTAAGAACTTCAAGCCATCTGCCCTTAGCCACTGTTTAATTATTAATCAGCCTCTTTAAAGGCATACAGATTGTCTGTGAGAGGAAAAACCCTTGTCAGCAAGTGGCATCAGGAAGCCGTGTGTTTAACTATCCTCCTCTGTTAAGATAAATAATTTACGGAAGTCTGACCAGGAGTGGAGTCAAAACAAGTCCTGCCCAACAGAAGCAAATTTGTTCAGACGGTGCCACATCAGCTGCTCTACTTCAACTGGTCCACTGCAAATAAATGGTGTTGATCTTCAGCTGGTCAGCAAGGATTCCTTTATTACACATTCAGGATCTGATGGCACATTTCTCAAAATTGTTTTATACAAATATGAAATTCCTATTCTATTAACCAGTCAATATCATGCTATAACATATAGCATTCTGTTGTTTCCCATTTATACCTTAGTTTTCTAATATTTTTACTTCATGGCAAATTATACAGCTTAATGGGCTTGTAACATATGTAGTTTTCTCCATGCTGCAGTTAAACATGGATTTTCAGTCAGGGTATTTGCAGAAATATGGCCAGGGAAGTACACTGATATTATGTCAGCCCTTCCAGGGACCTCCGTGTATTTACTCAAGGAACAAACAGAGGATGTCCTTAAACTCTACTTTCTATACATCTGACTATTCTCCCTTATATCCATTGAGACGCAGCAATCGTTTTAATACTGTTGCTCTCTGACGAATAACTGCTGCTGACATGATGACCGCATCTGACATCTATGATCCTCCTGCAAGACATCTGTTTTTTGTTTTTCATTTCAATCTTTGTGTCGTGACTAGCCAGCTGTTGTGATTCTGTCCTCTGCATCGTTTCTAGATTGAGCCTGTTTTGAGATCTTTAGTCATTTTTGTTTTCAGTTCTCTTTAAATTCTTAATGTATGTAGTTTACCCATTTCTCTATGTATACAAGTTTGTTCAAACATTAATGTATAACTTGGTATTAAACATTATAATTATTAGAATAACTTTTTTTTTTTTTTCAAGCAAAAACTAAACATTTTTATTACTAATTTCTTACCTGCTTCCCTTTAGTTCGAGGGCCTGAGTCGGGTTGCAGAGTGCCTCTTCTCCTTACTGAATGGGGACGACATGTTTACCACCTTTGCCCAGCTAAAGGACAAGAATACCCTGGTGTGGCTCTTCAGTCGGGCTTACCTTTACTCCTTCATCTCCCTGTTCATCTACATGGTGTTGTCCCTTTTCATCGCTCTCATCACAGACTCTTATGAGACAATTAAGGTAAGATTTTCAAAAGGGGAAGAATGCAGCACTATTTGCGCACTGACATTTATGGTGCCTTGCAAAAGTATCCATTACCTTTTGATTCTTTCCACATTTGATTATGTACAAAGAAACTTTAATAGCTTTTCTTTTATCAATGCCTTTTTTTTTAGCCTCATTACCACGAAATGTGGTTTGCATCTATCCAGAAGTGCTATACAGGATATAAATATTACAGGTGTATGTACAAGCAAAAAGTAATAGTTGGGGACTGTAAAATTTTTTTTATAAATATGAATATGGGAGCTACATGCACAGATTATACAGAATATACAGGAATGTTAGGAAAAGGATTATATATGTATTAGTGGGTTTATAATACAAGATAAATAATGGAAGAAAAGATTAAGTTTATTTTATGCAATCCTAAAAAATGATTGCCCATGATGATATGACCAAACATTACTTGTTTCTGCCAGAAGCTGCAAATATCTCAGACAGCGTGTAGAAATCCTGTTGCTTGTAAAACTGCTGCTCACACACCTTAAAGTTACAGTCAGTTTACCAAAGCTGAGCACTGCTTTTAAATAAGAGGAGAATGGGGGACTCCGCTGTCTTCTTGAACAGATGACATCACGAAATAAAAATGTGATGAAAAAGAAAACGACTGAGGCAAAAAAATCTATGCACTGTGGGATATAAGGTAGAGATGATCTTTTTTTTTTAAACAAAAATTTCTAAATTATTATATTGGAGGAGTTTCATTGACTTGGGATGGAAATATTCAGAAATCTGTATACAATCCTTGGCTGTCCGAACGATCACCATAACCCCTAAATATCTCAATCACTATATAGAGCAGGGACTATATAGTGGACTTTATTTTAGCTCGGTTAACAGACCATCCAGACAGATGATCACTACTTTGTGAGTGATGCCTGCACCATCTTTGTTTTAAGCATTCTGGAATATATACTCACCGGCCACTTTATTAGGTACACCTGTCCAACTGCTCGTTAACACTTAATTTCTAAGCAGCCAATCACATGGCGGCAGCTCAGTGCATTTAGGCATGTAGACATGGTCAAGACAATCTCCTGCAGTTCAAACCGAGCATCAGTATGGGGAAGAAAGGTGATTTGAGTGACTTTGAACGTGGCATGATTGTTGGTGCCAGAAGGGCTGGTCTGAATATTTCAGAAACTGCTGATCTACTGGGATTTTCACGCTCAACCATCTCTAGGGTTTACAGAGAATGGTCCGAAAAAGAAAAAACATCCAGTGAGCGGCAGTTCTGTGGGCGGAAATGCCTTGTTGATGCCAGAGGTCAGAGGAGAATGGCCAGACTGGTTCGAGCTGATAGAAGGGCAACAGTGACTCAAATAACCACCCGTTACAACCAAGGTGGGCAGAAGAGCATCTCTGAACGCACAGTACGTCGAACTTTGAGGCAGATGGGCTACAGCAGCTGAAGACCACACCGGGTGCCACTCCTTTCAGCTAAGAACAGGAAACTGAGGCTACAATTTGCACAAGCTCATCGAAATTGGACAATAGAAGATTGGAAAAACGTTGCCTGGTCTGATCAGTCTCGATTTCTGCTGCGACATTCGGATGGTAGGGTCAGAATTTGGCGTCTACAACATGAAAGCATGGATTCATCCTGCCTTGTATCAACCGTTCAGGCTGGTGGTGGTGGTGTCATGGTGTAGGGAATATTTTCTTGGCACACTTTGGGCCCCTTGGTACCAATTGAGCATCGTTGCAACGCCACAGCCTACCTGAGTATTGTTGCTGACCATGTCCATCCCTTTATGACCACAATGTACCCAACTTCTGATGGCTATTTTCAGCAGGATAATGCGCCATGTCATAAAGCTGGAATCATCTCAGAGCGAGAGAGACTAGAGCAGAGATCACGGATTAGCTCTTGTTTGTATAGTAAATCCTCCGGAGCGTCCGGCACCAGGCTACACGTGATACAAATTAGCCAATGAGCTGTGTCAGTCTGGGCTGCTGCTGCGAGGCACTTTTAGAGACAGCAGACAAACCTGTGGCAATCCAGGTGATGGGAAAGATGGAGAAGATGAAGAGAAAAAGAGAGCAGCGAAAGTGTGGACTGCTGGAAAAAGCGTGGTGACCTAGAGAAGTGAAATAGCAAGCTCAAAGATGAACCTGCACAGTTTGAGTATGTTTGGCTCACCTTTCTGCTGTAAAGCAGGATTCTCCACCATGAACATAATCAAAAATAAATATCGATCCAGGCTCAAAATGAGCACCTTGATATGTGCTTTAGAATGGCTTTGTCTCCATTCAAACCCAGGTTTAAAGCCTTGCAGGGTGGCGTAAAGCCCACTGCTCTTGTTAAGCCATAAAAAAGAAAAACAAAAAAAACGGTCAGTTCATAAAAATTGATTCAGGAAATTGTCTATATACCAAACTGAAAGATTGTTGTTCTCTACATCAAAAACAATTTAAATTTTTAAATGGAAAAACTTTCTATTTTTTTTTTATATTTTTGTATTTAAAAATTCAATGTATAACTTGGATGCATAAACAACTCCTTTTATTTCAGTGTTTAATGCTGTTTAGAATAAGCCATTATAATTAAAAATGTCTCCGGACCTTTACTGGTTGTTGTTTTTCTTTGTTTGGACCCCTCTGGTTTTTAATTGGTTGCACTAAGTCATTGAATGAGTCATGTGACCTAGTCTTTGGGACCAGTCTGAGCTCCTCTTAAAAACAAGAGCAAACTAAGCTAAATGTTCTGTTCAGCAAGAGAACAGCTGGCATTTACAGTGTCTAACAAAAGTATTTGCCCATATTGAACATTTCAACATTTTTTCACATATCAGGCTTCACATATGAAGATATAAATTTGTAATCCTTTGTAAAGAATTAACAACAAGCGGGATGCAATCAAACAAAATTTATTGGATATTTTAAACTTTTTTAACAAAACAAAAACGGTTAAATTGAGTGTGCAAAATGATTTAGCCTCCTTCAGTTAATACTTTATAGCTCCAACTTTTGCTGTGATTACTTTTGCACATTGGGAGTTTTGCTCAATCTTCCTTGCAAAACAGCTTTAAGCTCAGTGAGGTTGAATGACGAGCGCTTGTAAACAGCAGTTTTCAGTTCTTTTCACAGCTTGTCGATTGGATTCAGCTCTGGACTTTGACTTGGCCATTCTAACACCTGGATATGTATATTTATGAACCATGTTAAAGGAATGCTTTAATTATCCTAACAACCATTTCATTGTAGATGTTAATGTTTTGGACCCTTGTCTTGTTGGAAGATAAATCTCCGTCCTACTCTCAGGTCTCTGCAGACTCCAACAGTTTTTCTTCCAGAATGGAATTATATATTATATTATATATAATATTTGGCTCCATCCATCTTCCCATTAATTTTAACCACCCTCCCTGTTTTAGTGCTTTGCTTTAATTTTACTGAAATGGTCACAACCCTCCTAAATTGCGATTTGTTCATGAGTCTAAATCAAAGTTGTTGTTTTTTTTGTCTGTTACCTTAAGGTGTTTTACCTGGTTCAGTTTCAAAGATTATTTTAAACTTTATCTGAAAAGTTTTAATATTTTCTTTTGTCTCTGTCTGCAGAACTACCAGAGGCATGGGTTCCCGTTGACTGACTTGCAAAAGTTCCTTCAGGGTCATAAAGATTTTCCTGTGCAGGAAGAAAATGGCCAAACAGAAGTTGAGCTCAGTAACTCTATAAACCGCTGCTGCTGCTGCCAACGGTACGACAGCAATGCCAAGATACTTCACTAATGTTCAAACCCTTATGATGGAAAATGTGTGTATGGAACATGAAATCCATTTTGAGTCATGTGCCTACCTGAGATTTACAAGTTGATCCTAAATGTCATAACTCTGGTGCCTCTGGGGTCATACACCTCCACCTTTCTCAGCTCTTCCTCTTGATAAGGTTTTGCTCTCCAAGTGGTACTTGTTAGTTTCATTTGCAAACATGGATGGTTGTTACAAGTTGAGCTGTAATGCTGACATTTTGCGTTGAGCCTGATATGGAAATGAATTGCTTGATGGTTGGAAAATAAAACTGAGATAAAAATGGCTTTTTCTCATCTCCTTTTACAGCCATATGCACGTTGTCATAATTATTGAATAGAAATTGTGTGTGTGAAGAAAATCTGTACTGATTATTAAGCCATGCTCAAATTAACAGGGTTATGGTTGTAAATGTAAAGCTGCAGCTAAACTGCAGCTAAAAGCTGCAAAAACTGCAGCTATTTTTTGGGTAGGGTTTGGTTAGGTTTAGTTGAACTCCTGTACAGTAACAACACCTTAGCTGATTGTGCTGTACTGCCTGTGCAATCTGATAAAATGCTAATTATGTTGCTGCAGGCATAAGTTTGTAACAGTCATGTTAGATATTATTTTGAGGCTCATGGAAAATCCCAAAGTTTCCCAACAAAGACTCAGTTCAGGAGGTGCGTTCTAACAAGAACTGAGAAAACCACCGCAACACTCGAAAGCTACAGTACCAGTTCACAAACCGAAAACTGGCCTGAAATATTGATAAGTTTAGGCTTTTTGCTGTCAAATGGTAGACAAGCAAATTTGAAGTCTAACACTTAAGTTCTAAAATGTTCAATCTGTGCTCCGTTATGCAATAATAATGAGCTTTGATGGTTTTTAGTTGTGTTTAGGAAGCGGATCCTGTAAAAATGATGAGTTGAGTGATCCACTTAACATCCTAAAACTGACTCTTACAAGAGGAAATGTCAACCAGGGTTTTGAAATGGGACGTTTAACCATCTTTGTGGTACATCAGACACATTTTTTCGGAGAAAAATCAAATAGAAATGGAAAGAAACCATCTTTGCACTTTATGTAAGGGTCTCCAGGAGAAACCAAACCATTGATCAGCTATTCTGCCCCAAAGCAACACAGTAAAATAGTATTGCACTTTGAGATTTGTAGTTTTAGTCAAACTTGGTCCTACCAATACCAAGTGATTCTAATTTCTTTGCAAGAATTAGAATTTTTTTAAAGTAATGTATTAAGAATATCTTATCCTGGCACACTTGCTGTTAACAAGCATTGATTATAGGCAGGTTAAAATCAGACAAATTGGTTATCTGATATTTTAAGTTGCTTTTTATTATGTTGATTTGAAGACACAATATTGCATTCAAGAAGTACTGAGTTATTATCAGGATTTGTCTCCAAGGAGAAGTAGGAGACAAATTGTAAGTGAATAGTGAAGGATCGATATGAAGGAAGATGTTAAATTTAAACCTTACCAGTTACTTGGACCAGACTCAGTTCTGCTGGGTTAGAATAAATGTTTAGAACTCGCCACCTAAACATTTACTCTAAAGCTCACAACTCCAAAAATGTTTTTTTCAGGGGGTGAGGATGGGAGGATGTTTCAGATCATTTTAGCTCCTGATGGCAGTCATTAACAAGCATGCTGAATTTCATGTTGATGTATTTGCAGCCTGGCCTCGGTAGGTTTATTTCTTTCTTTGTAATACTCTATTCTCTCATTAATTACAACAATAATTGGTGTGCAGGTGGCACATGAGTTTAGCACACACGACCCATGTATGGAGGCCTTAGTCCTCGACGTGGCCGACCCGGGTTCAAATCCGACCTCTGGTCCCTTGCTGCATGACTCTTCCCCTCTCTAATTTCCCCGTTCCTGTCAGCCTACTGTCAGAAAAACCTCAAAAAAAAAAAAATTACAACTATAATTGCCAAATTTCCAGAATGACTCCTTTTTCACAGTTTTGAATACCTTGATTATGAAAACCTAAGATGACCGGACATAGTCTATAAATCTATGAATATATTTACACAAACGACCAAAACACCATAGAGATGCTATTCCTAAAAATCTGATTTATGTTTTAAATGTAATGGATGACAAAGTAGTCTGTCACATTAAGACATGGGGTCTACATAGACTGCTTACCTCTACAGTGGTCTGACAGAAAAGTTGGTTGCAAAAAGATGCATTATGGTGCAGATTTATCTACACCTTTTATCTTTATTTATGCCTGGGGAGTGGCGGCCTTGTGGTTAGGGCATTGCACTTGGAACCCACACGTTCTGAGTCAATGCCCCACTTCCACAGACTGCCACTCTGGGTCCCTGAGCAAAGAACCTTAACCCCATACAGCTCCCCGTGTGCCTTATAATGGCAGCCCACTGCTCCCCAAGGGCATGGGTTAAAAGCAGAGATACATTTCACTAATGTGAGATCAATAAAGTAATGTTATTATTTCTCTGACCTCTTGTTTATAAACTTCAATCATACTGAAAATACAGTCATATTAAAAAGTTTGGGCACCCCTATTAATCTTAATTATTTTTATTTCTAAATATTTGGGTGTTTTGCAACAGCTATTTCAGTTTGATATATCTAATAACTGATGGACACAATATTTCAGTATTGAATTCAGGTTTATTGCATTAACAGAAAATGTGCAATATGCATTGAAGCAAATCTTGACAGGTGCAAAATTTTGGGTACCTTAATCATTTTATTGATGTGAATACCCTTAACTACTTTTCACTGACTTACTGAAACACAAAATTGATTTGGTAACTTCATTAAGATTACAACTTCATAGCCAGGTGTATCCAATCATTAGACAATGTATTTAAAGTTGCTCTCCTGTTCGCATCTCCTCTGAAGATTCATCATGGGCACCTCAAAACAACTCCCAAATGATCTGAAAACAAAGATTGTTCATCATAGTCATTAGGGGAAGGGTACAAAAAGTTGTCTCAGAGATTTAAACTGACAGTTTCCATTGTGAGGAACATAGTGAGGAAATGGAAGACCAATGGGACAGTTCTTGTTAAGCTCAGAAGTGGCAGGCCAAGAAAAATATCGAAGAAGCAGATAAGAAAAATGGTGAGAATGGTCAAGAACAACCCATAGACCACTTCCAAAGACCTGCAGCATCATCTTGCTGCAGATGGTGTCACTGTGCATTATTTAAAAATTCAGCACACTTTGCACCAGGAGAAGCTGTATGGGATAGTGATGCGACAGAAGCCTTTTCTGCAAGTAAACCACAAACAGGATCACGTGAGGTATGCAAAAGCACATTTCGACAAGTCAGCTTCATTTTGGAATAAGGTCCTGTGGACTGATGAAAAGGCGTTCCAAGAAAGACGCTTGCTACCCACTGTAAAATTTGGTGGAGGTTCCATCATGCTTTGGGGCTGCGTTGCCAATGCTAGCACTGGGAATCTTGTTAAAGTTAAGGGCTGCATAGGATTCCACTCAATATCAGCAGATACTTGAGAATAATGTTCAAGAATCAGTTACTAAGTTGAAGTTACGGCAAGGATGGATATTTTAGCCAGACAATGATCCAAAACACTGCTCCAAATCTACTCAGGCATTCATGCAGAGGAACAATTACAATGTGCTGCAATGGCCATCCCAATCCCCAGACCTGAATATCATTGAACATCTGTGGGATGATTTGAAGCAGGCTGTCCATGCTCGGCGACCATCAAACTTAACTGAACTGGACTTGTTTTGCAAAGAAGAATGGTCAAAAATCCCTTGATCCAGGAACTCATTAAAAGCTACAGGAAATTACTAGAGGCTGTTGTTTTTGCAAAAGGAGGATCTACTAAATATTAATGTCTCTTTTTGCTGAGGTGCCCAAATGTTTGCACCTGTCAAGTTTTGTTTTAACGTTAATCCAATAAACCTTAATTCAATACTGAAATATTACTGTGTCCATCAGTTACTAGATATATCAAACTGAAATAGCTGTTGCAAACACCCAAATATTTAGACATAAAAAATAATTAGGATTAACAGGGGTGCCCAAACCTTTTCATATGACATTACTATTAGGCTCTAAATAATTAATACCTTAAGATTGAGGTTTAGGTTTAAAGTAACCTAGGCATGCCTATCCATTCTCTTTTGACACTGACATAGTAGTGTGGTGTTGCTTATTTTTAATGTAATACTGATTACTGGCATTTGTGTCAAAACCTTTTAATGGAATGAAATGAATCTCTGGCTGGATGCATTACTGTCTTCTGTCAGCTTCATATTTTCTCTAACAACTCAAATGTACAAGGAAGAAACTGCTTGCAACTTTTAATTAAGACCTCGTTTTGCATATCTTTCATCTAGTTGCTGCCAACAAGGCATCTTTATTGGTTTTTTTCCCCCCAATGTGCATTCCTTTTCACTGAGCCAATCCCCATCATCAGTCTGTAGTGAGGTTTCCTTCACATTGTGGATTGGCTTTGCCTTACTTGGTCTGTGAGCAATGAAATTAGTGGTGGGAGGTATGCAGACACTCCCAATGATGGACTGAATACAGAGATACTGTTGAGCTGAAAACTAGGAGAAACATCCCCCTGGTTTCCCACACCCAATCTTTGCTGCGATACCTTCCAAAAAAACAATCCCTGCTCCCACACCAAAGCTGAAATAAAGCCAGAGGCATTTTCCGTAGCGTTTTGTTGTTTTCCTTGGAGGATATCTTTAATCATTTGTGAGGTTTAAAGTTACCCTGATTATTTTCTAATGTGCAAGATGATACAATTCAAAATCTTCCTAATGTGTCGAGTTTCATTTAGTACAAATGCTTTCTCTTTCATGTTGACTTTTTTTTTTATATCACTTTTGTAATCAGATGACATGTCTGACAATTTCCTAACATGGGGTAATGACTGGCAATTATTGTCTTCGTCACCACGTAACATTTGAGTCACTTCTTCCTCTTGAATGTTTTCCTCTAGATGTTTCAAACCCAGTGAAAGGCAACACAGTGACTCCTTGAGTTTTTATAATGTAATACTTATATATCTTATATTAAAAATATATATATATATATTTACCCATTGGTTAAAGTTCATATTTATAATTTTTTTTAATATGGGACCTGTTTTTGCAATCTTTACAAGGTTTACTTTTACTTCTGGAAAGTCCTGTGTCACAGCATTGTTTGTCCGACCTGATATTTCATATCAACCTGTAATTTATTTTATTTATTTTCCTCATCTATTAGGGCTGTGGTCTATCACTAGGACATTTGAGGTTTCCTGCTCTGGATCTTAAGTGTCGTTTCAGTTACCAGACAATCCTGTAAATGCAATTACTCTTGATGACTAATGACACCACTTGGTCCTTAATCCACTTGCTTCACTTGGACTGTACAATCGGAGACAGTTGCCAACTTCGATCTCACTAAATCGATCTATGGAGTTTCTTTGTTTTGATGTGTGGGAATAAATTAGATGAGGAAACATGAGATCCTAAAGCATGAAATATTATCCTTATTCAGTTAGATGATTGCGTTTTTTTTTTTTTTACTTTAAATTGTATTTCTTTTCTCTTGCATTTTTCTTGGCTTCAGCTGGAAGCTGAGATGCAAGAACCCCAAAATGTTTCCCTCCTTTTAAAAATTCATTTATCCAAAAGGTTGTTGTGGTTTGCTGCATGATGCTTAAAGGGAATAAAGAAAAAGAGCTTGACTATCTGGTTTTCTGGCTCAAAAATAGAGCATGTTGACAAATATTTATGCTCTTAAAATAAAAACTACCATAAGAGTAAAAAACAGGAAATGGAAATTCTTACACAAAATGAGTTATCCCCAATGACTATTAATTCCTGTTTTTGGGGCTTTTAAAGTCTGTTTTTTTAAATTCACTTTATAACATGATGTAAAGAGCCGCAGTGTGGATATGGAGGGAAATGAGGATCTAGTGTTGTGCTAAGATGGCTCTTGGTTGAAAAAGTCATAGTTTTGTTTTTCAGGAGGCTTGTGATGAACATCCTTAAAAATGCTAATGTTTGTGGAAGTGAGAGACCAAGTTGGTCTGTGACAGGTGAAATGGGTACAACTGTAGTCTTAGAAAAATCCCCTTAGGGATGTAAATAAAGTAGTGAAAAAAGTTACATTTTATTAAAGATTTGTGATTACCAGGAATAAAATGTTTATCAGTGTAAATGGTTTTCCACATAGTTGTTGGGAGAATCTGTTTCTGTGTTATTTTCTTAATTATCTTGCTGGAGTATTTCCTGTGTACATTTCAGCCTGTTTTTCTCAAAATCAGCTCTTTATCAAATTGATCAAGGGCATATTGATGTTAAGAAAATGCCCATTCTTCTTGAAATATATATATATATATTTTATTTGTTGTTTCTTGTTTAGATAATTTATTAAAATTTGTTGCCCTTTGAAATATCTGCAGCACCTTTTTTTCTGAATAATTGTCCCAAATCTACCAATAAACCTTTTGTAACAACCTTTTACTACAAAGACACTAAAAAACGTACTAAAATACTACAATGGTTTAAAATAATAAACTCTTGTAATATATAATAATTATACCGACTTTGGTGCATATGATTATCTTAGCTTGAAGATGTCCCCTACTCAGCTAGGCATTGTTCATTGTCTATCACATCTATCTTATTAGCTTCTTATTTTCTTATAAAATATTATAGATACATACATTTCTAATAGGATGGTCAAAGACAGCTGCAACTATTCAAGTTTTTAAAAATACCTTTTTTATTGCATCGCAATTCCTATTACTACACGTACTAATATTCTGTTCACTAAAGTCATTTTCTACAGAGCAGTTTTTATTATTTGTACATTGCATTTACATATGGCCTCGAGTCCATCCACGGCAATTATTTTTGGCTGCAAAATACTGCAATTTACAACATCAATTGTTCAACAATACTTTAAACATGTTTGTAGAGGTAGATATAAAAACATAATTATCATTCAAACTATACATAATAAACAGCTCTTTCCATTGCAAACTATTTCCGTAGCAAAATTAGCATATTGCACTATTTTTATTGTCCGTAATGGTGGTACTTGAATATTCCACATAAGTTTGAGTTCATTTTGGAGGGAAAAAAACACAGAACTAGAAGACTAAAGCTCCTTAGAAAAGATATTTTTTAATAAACACAATCTGATCTAATTTCTTCAATCTTATGTTGGCTTTATAGTATTTACAGATCAATGCTCTGTGTTCCTTTTGCATGTCTGCTTCTGTCAAGGAAGGATTGCTCTGAAGTCAATGACACAGTGCAAGTGATTGTCTTCTGCGGCCACATGCTTATGGATAGTGTTTTTACTGTTTACAACGGGAAAGGTGAATTAATAGGACATACAATTTAAGGTATTTGGGTGACCCAGCTTCTCTCAGAAAAAGACAAGCCATTTCCAACACATCTTTTGTAAGTCCTGGCTTAAAACTTGGAAATACTGGGGCTTACTTCAAAAAACGTTATTATATTCTGTCATTTTTCTCGGTGTAATGGCTTCTTAGTTTTCTGAAATGTAAAAAGCCAGTGTACTTAAGAATTTATCTCAGAACTAACCCTGCTTTTTGAAAAGTGGCCCTGATGTGTTTAAGTGCAGTTTTAGTTTACATTTTCCAAATCCTGTAAACTGTGCAGCTGGTGCTAAAGCTAAGAGCCTGCTATAAGAGTAGACTGCACAGAATATTGGTGGACAAGCTGCATGTTGCTTGTGAAACTGATTTATTTGTAATCTGCAGTTTGCTCGTGCAAAGATATTACACAATCCTGCTAAACAATGTTGGTCACAACCACCAGTCACGCACTTTTATGAAACATTCTCCAAATTATGATATCAGCCATTCTCCAAACTGCTTAGAATTATGTAATTATTGATGTCATCATTATCACTATTTTCTAACCAGGAGCACAGTGGCTTTCCCTTTAACTTGCCAGAAATTATTTTGAATCCAGGTGTCATTATTAATGACCTCATTGGGTAACCATGCGGGTGGCTTTTTTAAATGTGAGATCTGTTGGTTCATGTTTTAATTTCTTCTGTGGGTTTGCACAGACATCCAGAGAAGCTGCTTCAGGAAGGTTTCTGGAACCAGCTGCCCGATTCTGTGAAATAAACTTTGAAACCAAGGCTTAAAACAAACAAAAAACGTATCCAGGCAAAGGTTGAGTTAAATGGGACTCATTGCAGTGTGAACAAGCCAAATCAAATTTGACATAGTAGAAAATTGGCCTTTTAATGTAACAGATTCCATTGGACTTCAGGGTATAGTTAAAAAGTTTCCTGCCTTTTAAGAATTAATCAGTTATTTACTGGAGAAAACCTGAAGTCATTTAAACAACTACAAGATACATATGGATTACATTCAAAATACTTCTATAAGTACTAACAATTAAGGGATTACCTCTTATCACACAAAGAATGGCCTACTTTGAAACATAATACACTATGTTTGGAACTATTTCTGATAAAATGTGTAGAGGAAAATAATAAAAAGAAGATTATATCTAATATATATAAACATCTACAGGGACACTTCTCTGACAATTCTATGGATCTGAAAATTAAGAATGAGATTTTTTTAAAACACCTTTCAGTATTTCAAAATATGACTGAAATTTCTCAAATTTATGCTGGAGGAACTGTAATCAGATTGGGGACCACGCTCACCTTTTTTGGGACTGTCCAGTACTGATTCCATTTTGGCAAGGGATCCAAAAAGAAATTAAGAGAATACTTGAGTTTACTTTACCACTGAACCAGCAGTACTATATATTAGGTTTGATCCCAAAAGAAAATATTGGGAAAAGGGAAGCCCAATTACTACAGATTCTGCTATTAGTAGCAAGGAAAAAGATAACTCTGTCTTGGCTTAAACCTTTGCCCCCAACCCTTTAACAATGGCAAGAAAGGTTGAAGAATGTGTATAAAATGGAGACGATAACAGCAAAACTTCATGGGAAAATGGACATATTCTTGGAAGTGTGGGCCCCAGCTATCGACTACTTTGGATGGCCACACAGATAAAGAGCCTCATATGCTAAACAGAACAAAATGATATCAGCCCCCTTTGTTTGTATTTCCCCTCTTTTATGGTACACTAGACATATACACCTCCTGTCTATGGGAGCTAATAAAGACCCCTCTAAGAACTGTCAATTGCTGAAAAAGATTTCAATGTTTTTCCCTGAGCCCCATCCCTTTTTATTTTATTTTATTTTTTTTCTCCACTACTCTTGGGTTTGATGCTCTTTGTAGTTGCATATATGAAGATACATTTGTATATGTTGTATTATATGTATTATATGTTGGATTTATTATATTCTTAAATAAAGTATAAAGTGAATGTTCAAAAAAAAGTTTCCTGCTTTTAAGGAGTCTGTGGGCTTGATCAATTTGCAGAAATGTGTCCTTCGGAGAGCAAGATGTAATTTATTTGACAAATTTTGCAATAAAATATTTTTCTAGGGGGAAACAACAATGTCTATTTTTCATTATATGCATTATTTGACCCAATACATTTGTGAGTTCCTATTCATTGTTTACACACGCACAAAAAAAAGCCATGGATGAAGAATTTTTACACAAGTTTATATAGCTGCATGGTAATCTTTTAAATTTATGCAATAATTTTCTGTTACAGATACAGGATAGATAAACGAGGCAGTTCGAAGATAAAACGATGGAAATTAATTTAAGTCTTTATCTTCGGTGTCATTATGATATAGGAAAATATATATAGGAAAATGAAAAATTTAAACTTTGTATACTTGGGGCTGTAGAAATGTAGACTGCTTGAGGGGACTGTGGGGGGAATCCAAGCGTGGGTGTGTCACGCGCTGTGCGTCAGCGTGCTGGAGTTAAAGTGAAGGCGCCTCCTCCCTGCCTTCAGTTCAGCTCCAAGGCTTCATGCTGCCACTTCCCTCTCCACACAGCTGCCAGGAAAATACACTGCTGCAATGCTGAATTACCCACAACGGGACATTTCGCAACGTTTTTTTCTCTAACGCAACCCACCTGGAATACCTTAATCCTCCCACAGGTAAATCTTCCAATCGAATAGTTTTTCTTACTGCTTGACTGGCCTTAAAAATGTTATCTAGTCAACTTTTGTTTTGTTTTTCTCTTAAATTATTCCGGGATCTGAGTGAACTTCTTCTTTAAGCTCAGTAGGACACGGAGCTCTAAAGTTGCGTAATGAGTAAAACCTCAGTGAAAGCTTTGTGTAATATTTGTGAAAAACTCTTAAAATATTTTCTCAAAGATAAGAAAATGTCAGCCTGGTGTTTTCATTCATATTAAAATAGTAGAAGTTAATATCTTTTGTAAGTTTGGAGTTTGGCACTGACTTTCTTCCTTTACTGTCAGTCTGACATGTTGCTGTTCTCTCACTTCAACCTGTTGAACCTAAACGTTATTTTGCCTTTAATAAAACTTGCTCTGTACAATGATCTGATATATCAAGGCTGCATTCACCTTGTAGTTTTACTAGGGCACATTTTTCAAATATAATTTGAAGTGCATACCTTGTTTATAAGCTTAATGCAGTCAGTCAGATATTGCTGCTGTTTTCAAGTAGAATCCGCCTCCATGCTATACTAATCATGTACGAGTTACTAATAATGCCTTGCAGATTCTCACACCTGTCAATAGTGATCCATGTATAAAAAAATGTGTGAATTGTTCTTTCACGTTTTATTTTTATTTCCCAGGTCAATCTTCAAAAATGGCTCAGGAGAACGCCACCTGTCATTATAATGAGACCATGGAGTTCTTTTATAACAAATCTGGTGGGAGATATCCTGTGGGCGATAAACTGCTCATCCTGGTCAAAGTGGTTGGCTCCATCTTCTGTGTCTTCATCCTGGTTGCTAACTGTATGGTCATTGCTGCTGTAATCACCAATAAGAAGTTTCACTACCCTTTCTACTATCTTCTTGCCAATCTCGCTGCCTCGGACTTCCTTGCAGGCATAGCCTATGTGTACCTCATGTTCAACACAGGTGACGTTTCACCAACACTTAGTATCAATGAGTACTTCTTCCGCCAAGGACTCCTAGATGTTAGTCTCTCTGCTTCGCTGGCTAATCTACTTGTTATAGCTCTGGAGCGCTACATCTCTATAATGAACTGGAAAGTCCACAGCAACCTGAACAAGAGGAGGGTGACATTATTGATCGTTCTTGTTTGGAGCATCTCTATTCTCATGGCCATGGTGCCCAGCCTGGGCTGGAACTGCATCTGTAAACTGGATAGCTGCTCCTCAATGGCTCCCATCTTTAGCAAGAGCTACCTAATATTCTGGTCAGTTTCGAACTCTATTATTTTTGTTACCATGGTGGGGATCTACATTCGGATCTACACCTATGTTAAGAGGAAGACCACTATGCTTATGTCAAACACCTCTAGCTCCATCAACCGCAGGAGGACGCCTATCAAGCTCATCAAGACGGTCATGGTTGTGCTCGGTGAGTGCTACTCAAAAAGAAAAAGAAAATATCTCGTATCTCTTTCGGAGCAAAGGAACTATTTAATGAAAATTATAGCTGTTTAAAAACTATATAGAATTTAATTCACCTAAATTACTGTTTTTTTTTTTTTTTTTATGTACACTGCTTCCTTTTTATACCAGGCTCTTACTCTAACCAAAAATTGCTTTACATGTTTGTTTGGAGCATGTTTCATTAAAATCCAGCCCCACGTCACCTCTTAGCTCAGTTTTCTACATAAAAATCAGTGTAAAAAAAAAAAGTGAAAATGACACTAAATACAAATATTAAAATGGTTTTAAGATTAAGAAAATAATATTTACATCAGCAGTTAGGATATTGTTGAAATGTGAGTTATTTTATGACAGTAGGTCTAGTCTGGCTTTGGTCTTCAGCCTCTGGGTGCAACTACACTGCAAAAACAATCAATATATAAGTGAAAAAATCTTAAATTAGATGTATTTAGCCTTAATTTAAGTAGTTAAATAAGTTGATCTGCCAGTGGAATTCGTTTTTACTCTTAAATAGGATAATAAGATCATATGCACTATTATTTTAAATTTAAATAGTCGTGTTCCATTCGCAAAGTGTCTCATTTACCTCCTCTATTCAAGAAAAAATGCCCTTATTTTAAGTAAAATGACTTATTGAGATTTTAGTTTTTTTCTATGTTATCTCTACTTATTCTAAAAGTCAAACACTAAACAATGATTGAGTTTTTCACACATGCATTTGAGCAACTACCTCACAATTAAGATTGGTGCATTATCACTTTAAAATGTCTTATAGAAACTAAAACGGTTGGGTGGGTTGATGAGTTTTGATGTGGGTCCTTGGTCAACGTTAGAAACCCAGCTGACTCAGCAGGAAAGGTCATTTAACAAATCGGCTGTGTTACGTGCCACACCCCTGAATCCAAAGTACCCACATGCTTTCTGAAAGTAAACAAAGGTTCACAATTATCACTGCGTCGCATCGGTTCACTGCATAGCTCAGCAAAGGTGTTCCTATGAAGTCATCTCTGTGTGAAACATACCAGGCAAAGGTCTCACAGGAAAGTGTTTTAGAACTTCAAGAGAAGCAAATTACAGAACGTTTAATAACCAAACCAAACTGGAGATGGACTAGAAGTTAGGACATTTATTTCCTTTGATTTAGCTGCTTTTAGGATCCTGTTAAAAAAAAAATAAATCCACTGTTTTCCACACTGCAGTCTAGGTGCATTTCTGTTTTCATCTAAATATAAATATGAACGACATGTTAGTCGGGTCTCTTCTGCAAAAAAGTCCTTTGTAAATTGAGCCGTCTTCTTTTCACATGCTCCCATGCAATCCTGCCCGTATACACCCTTTACTCTAAGTTGCCGTGTAATTATTTTCTATGTAATGTGCTGCTGTACAGCCTGTGTAGCCAACCGTTACCAAAACCCCATTGGCCTTCAGTGAACATACCCTACTCTCCAACCAAAAAAGAAACAAAACAAAAAATACTGTAAGATTCTGTCAATTGCCTTTTATATGATGCTCTGAAAAAGTTTCTGTTTCAGACTTTGTTTCTGTCTTTATGCTCCCCTTGAAACCTGAAACATTAATTGTATTCACTGCATCATTCAAAACATTATAATTGATTTCCCTTTAACTTTCTACAGAACCTGTTTGCAGTATTCACAACCCTAGATCTTACTGATAGAGACATCTTACAATAGAGAAGGAAAAGAAAAACCTTTGTTCCGACATAAAGCCGTCTGCTCAACTGGAGAAACCAGTTTGAGGATGCAGATAAACCCCTCAAGCTTTGTTTAAGGTAGACTGGAATGAATAAAGGCACCTGGAAGTAAACAGCATGTACAAAAACTAAAGCAGCCTGACTCTACATGCTACTTCTGAATGTTTTGTAAAAATATGCTTTAAGCTCAACTTAGTCTATAAAAAAAGTTTTATAGAAGTGACTTTTTGCAACAAATAAAACTTCCACCTATTCAAGCAACCAGCATCAGACAATAAGTAACAAAAGCAGCTTGTTCATAAGATATCAACAAAATAATGACAAATAAGGACAAACAAACCCTAGTTTTCAAAGATTGATTCAATCATTTGATATTTAATTTCTCATAAAGAATCAGAGCAAAGTCAATATTTTGTTCTTCTAACCTAAACATATTCTGCAAACATAATATCTAAACTTTCATGGTTCTGCTTGACCTTGTCTGTATGTTTGTACATGTGCACGGGCAAACAAAGTGAAGTAAGACACGTTTGTTTTGCTGTATATAGAGTCAAATTGACGGGCATGTTGCTGCCTGTAACTCCCTCACTTCTGTAGCTTGTGCCCCAACATGTTTAAAGTAAATGGCTAATATGCTTTTTTTTCTTACTGGAATTGTGAATCACTAATGTGAGTTAAAGGCTGAGAGCGGCCGAGGTTGGAGATTAGCAGGGAACCACGGCACGCCTTCTTCTAATAAATCCTCAGATAGGAAGAGCTTCACCAAAGTGATAAGGAAGTTTTTTTCCTTAGAAAAGGTGTTTATGATTCCAGGAAAACTCACAAGGGACCAGACAGACGGAACAGAAAATAATTTTGTGAATAATTTCAAAATATCTCTGTTTACTGCAGAGATGCAGCAAACAGAGATTCTGTTGTTGGTTTCCTAAATAGCAATTTTAGAATTATTCAGTTTGCCTCTTTAGATTTGAATCAACTCAAATTAACTTTTAAGAACTATCAGTAAACATTTCTGTTAATTTCCTGAAACATTCAATGTTGAATTGTCCCTTCAATATAACGTTTATATGAAAATAAAGAAGAAAAAAAAAAACAGCCCCGTAAAACTGAATTTTTTCAGAGATTTCAATGAAAATATATATAAAAAAAGTTGTTATATCTTTTGAGATGTTGAGCTGGATAAGGTCTAATTTAAAAGAATCGCATATCTCAGGATATACTTTATAAATCATTGCATAGTAACTTGTTTACCTCTTTCTGGGCACTCAATGTTACTGAGAAACAGTTTGGATTTACTATATCGCTGTCGGGATTAATGTTTCTTTGTGCTGGATTTAATTATATTAGATTGTTATAATAATAAAATATTAGAGCAGTTAGGAACCTCCAAATTAAGTCACCCATCGAGCATGAATCATTACTTATTGGTATAAGTCATTCGCTTGCTGTGTGTGTTTGAGACAAATAAATGAGTCGGTATAGGAAAGATCTGCAGTCAAACAGGATTTCACTGTTATTTTAAGCTTATATTAAAGCTCCCTGTGGAATCAAATATTAATAATTAGTGCACTTAATGCAATAAGTAGGAGTAAATATCCCCTAGCAAGTTCCTTAACTGCAACATTTGCAAAGGGTGTAAACATTTCCTAATCCAATATGTTCCACAACGGAGGGGAGGGAGTTAAATACTGGCACTATTACCAACACAACACTAAAGAGCAGACATTAATAAAAATACACTGTATTTACTGATTCTTCATATGCATGTTATGCCTCTTCTGAATTAACAGATCCATCCCTCAGTAATACTGAGAATAGCTGAATTTCTTTCTGTAGCATCCATCTGCACTGAAGAGTGTTGTGGTTGATGTCCTGTAATGCCTCTACAGATCATGAAGGAGAGAGAAAATTGTTCAGTCCACAGCCAGCTGGTCATGGATCAGTTTGATTTTAAAATATTTAATTCCATTCTCTTGCTTATTTCTCTGTATATCTTAGATTTTCATACGTTTTCTATTTGACAAACCAACGTTGGCTCTTTCCTCAGTGTCATTTTGAATTTATAAGGTTTTAGATTAAGTAGTTTGTTTCAACTTAGTTATGCTGCAAAAGACAAACAAAAAACAAAACATTGTCCTATACCCATTAATTCATCCTGCTTAGTCAGACATTATAAAAAAAAGTTGTTAATTGTGTTGTCTTATATGTACTGTATATGGCAAGGTTAGTTTGTTAGTTGTGTTAGTTCAGACCTTAATATCTTATTATTTCAAGTGATATATAGAAATCCACTCAATAAACCATGTTTTGTTTTAATGATTTAAAGTATAAAATGAGCAATTACTTTCTATTGTGATAATATATAGAAAATGTAGAATTTACAATATGCATATATTTCAAATATAATATGCATGATCCGTTTTTTTCTGTTGCTAGGAGCCTTTTTGATCTGCTGGACGCCTGGCCTTGTGGTCATGTTCTTGGACGGGGTAGATTGTGAGCAGTGTGAAGTCAAGAAACTGAAGAGCTTGATGCTTCTAATGGCTGTTGCCAACTCAGTCATGAACCCCTGCATTTACTCCTACAAAGATGAGGAGATGTGGACAACGATAAAAAACCTTATGCGCTGCAATGGCACTGGTACCCGGAGGCAGCGGTCAATGCTTGCTAATGCCAGGCCACTAAACTCTGATCAGGACACAGGCACCAGTCCGCCAGCCTCGGAGGAAACTTAAAGTGACAAAAAAGGCTCACTGGATACATGAAACAACATCTCGTGTTAAATTTGACAGAACTGCTGTCTTAGTTGGAGTCAACATACACAGACGCATTGTGGAGACTAAGGACAAGCCTTCAGCATATCTCCAGCACCGTCAGTCAATTTTGGTTTCCTCAGATTCAACAGTAATTTGTGAGGAGAGACTACAGGGTATTAGCTCAGAGATGAGATAACTTTATGCACTACTAAAATTCCCTAATGGCTGTAAAGATGTCCGGTTTCCTAGGATTTCATCCATTTGGGCACATTACTCCCATTCTTGGGTAATGGGAGAACCCCCCCGCCCCCATCCCCACCTCCTCCTCATCCTGTTTCAAGTGTCATCAGATCCCTCTGACTCATTGTAAGTGACCAGTGACAGATGAAACAAGTACATTTAAACACTTCAAACCCTGGAGATGTAAAAGTTGTACATTATTCTTATTATGCATTTGTTTATAATTGTTGTAATTATTATTTTTTTTTTTACTGCATGAATATTTTAAACAAAACTTCAACTGAGGATGTTCAATGAAGTTGTGCATGGCCGGGGCAGAATCTAGAAGCTTTTTGTTTGTGTAAAAGTACTGTAAACAGCTACAATGTAACATGGTACTTGAACTAAGCTTAATGAGTATTTTTTTTAACCTACCGGTAATAATCAAATTCATTTCTTTCATTCTCCACCCTATACATGCTTGTATCTCTTCTCTTTTTGGTTACTTATGTAAACAGAAGTCGCTTCTTAAAATGTTGCATGTCAAACGTGCTTTTCTGTATCATTTTCTCAAATCAACTTTACCTCTTTGCAAAACACTGGATTACTGCTAAAGATTCAGCATATAATGTGTGGTTCAACATTGAGAAGGATAAGAGAAAAACTCCCTACCCACACAGACTACTACAGGTCGATCACATCGCTGAATCATTAGCTGACTTTTCATTGCATGCATACTATGTACTGTATACCGGTACCTAAGCTGTGGTAAAGAACCCTTGAATTCATCCTTATCAAAGGTATGCGGCTCTTAACTTTGACTTTAACTTGTATAATATTCCTCAGTAGAAAGATTATAGCGCCAATGATTAAGCTGAGATTATCCATACGTGTGGACTCTTACTGTTGGACTTGTCAGAAGCGATAACCACTCGTAACCATTCTAGTTATTTCCTGTTATAAACATTTCAGTTTGAGATGTGCTTCCTTTTTGTTATTTGCAGAAAATACTCCCCCCCTCTACTCCTTGATTTGAGATCTTATAAAAAAAACATTATCACCATAAAGGGCTTCTATAAGGCAGTGTTTGAAATAGATCATAAGGCTCTATGCCTGAGCACCATATGGGTTGGCAGAATCACAAGAGCAACTAATATTTATTTGTATGTCCAATCAATATTGAGCAGGTGATCCTTATTCTTTGTGCTTTAACAGCTAATGTTTCAGCAGATGTTAATCTGATTAGCACATTGCATTTCCCATAAATAGGACTAATCATATCTTAACTGGGGGATTTCTTGATAAACAGAGATGCTCATGAATGAAGATAAAACATTTATCTTCTGTAAGGCACGACAAGTTTATTTGTATCACACAGTTCAGTACGAAGAAAATTGAAAGTGCTTTACATGAATTAAATGATTCTGTGGTTTTATTCTATCCATTTGGTTTTGAGGATACAGAATAAGCAGTGCTTCCCTTGGGTATCTATCAGAACTGCCACTACTGGCTCCTTGCGGCTTATTTGATAATTTTGTCTTTGTGTTTTGGGCTTTATGTACGAGTGGTTGACCTGAAAACTAAAACACATTGCATAAAGCCATGCTGCAGAGCAGGGGTTTCCAAATAGGGGTTCCATTTGCGAGACACCAATTAGACGGTGATGGGACAGCTATCGTAACCGTATCCTTGAGGTAAAAGTAGGTCCAAAATATATAATAAAATACAAAAATATGAATAAGTAAATAATTGTCCCTTGAAATAAATCGGTGCAACACTTTATTTATCTAATGCATGATTCAAATATTTAGAAAAACATAAAATTGTAAAATGCAGAATAAATATCCCACTAAATTATTAAAAATATATTTAAATTACTAATTAAATTGTATTAATTAAAAACTGAATAACATTTCTTCACTTTATATGAATAAATGTATATGCTGAAATATTTTGGAAGCCCTGCTGTGGACTAATGCCTCAATTCTGTTCATCTTTTAGATTTTCTCATTGTTCAGTGCACCTGATATTTAATGACTTACAATTATTTATAGTACATGAATGCATGCTGAGGAGGGATTTGACCTGAATTGTAGAGGTTAGTGATAATGTGTTTTTTTTTTTAAATGGATTATTATCTACTTTGATAAAAAGGGGACACTAGATTGCTTGCTGAAAAGTAGTTTGATTTAAAAGGGAAAAGAGCATGCTTTTGATGCATACAGATGAGAAAGAATATACTGGTATATTAATGTCAGTTTTTCGTACATGTCATAGAACAATCTATGAAAACCTTTGACTTAAAAACACACCTTACATACTTTTACAAACAACTTCATATATATGTATATATAAGCTGTCTGTTTGATAATGTGCTTGTATTACAGACTAAGATGTTTTGTTAAATATTAAATTGCTTCACAATCAAACACGTTTCGGTCTGACTTATCCCAATGCAATTTAAGTTATTTTTTACCTAAAGTCATCAGATCCAATGATTCTTTGATCAGTGTTTGATATAACAGGTGAAAACGTGTCTTAGCTTTCTTTCCACTTAGTGAATATCTCTGGTACAAATATGAACGAAATGATGGTTACTTAATCAACTCCCACTTTCCTTCTAACAGTAACATGCATGTCCTATATGAGTCAGGGTTTTTCTTTTGTTCATTTGAATTTATTACACCACAAAGTTATGACAAGACATCTAACAGGAAATCCATTCACTTTCTAAGAGTATTGTTTAGAACTGTATACAGGCAGAATTGTTTAATAGTGAGATGTTAAAGCAGAGTTTATACAGGAATTCTAGGATACTTCTAGTTAGGTTAGGAAACTATAATCCCCCCCAAATTATTGATTTAATAACCATCTGAGTGTAAACACTGATTAAACTAAGGAGTTTTATACATATATATATATATATATATATATATATATATATATATATATATATATATATATATATATATATATATATATATATATATACTGAAACTGAATTTCCCTATGGGGATTAATTAAGGTTTTGTTTTTATTATGAAAAAAACTGTATGACAATCACTAAATTTTTTAACTCTTTTTTTTTCATGGATGAACCTCATTTCCATATCAATGTTAACATAGTTGAACTAATAGACTATATAATCAATAACTACCTTTCCAATAATCATAGTAACATGTTTTTTTAAGGATAAACAAAGTAAGCAAAATTAACAGCAGCAAACATAACATCAAACCACATAAAGGGAAATTCCAAAGGGAACTAAGTTACTGATTTTAACTTTAAATGAAAGGTAAGATCAGAATAAAGGATATTTAATAGTAAGAAGTCAAGCAGTGAGGCAGATACCAAAACTGAAAACATCCTTAGATGGACTGATAAGACACACCTTCCTTTTGACTCGGGTACGAAGGTGTAGACTTGGAGTCATGACAATCCTTAGTGCTTAAACACAATATAAATTCCTTTGTTTTTGAATGCAATTTAGGCTTCTCATCAAAAACATTTCTTCAGTTCTCTGGATTTTAAAGCACTGACAGCTTTCTTCAAGAAAGAAGAGAAATATCTAGATACCTTACATATAAGCAAGTACTGTTTGTGTTTGGTGTTGTTCTGTTACTTGTTTATGAAAATGATTGGGTCCTGGAACTACATCGCAACCTTTACTAGAGAAGAATATAACTAGGTGGAGCTGTAGTGTGTTCCAGGCCCACAAACATGTAAATGCAATATTCCGAGCTGGACCATTAACCTTGTCTGCTGCTTCCTTAGTCACAGATGTCCTGAGGCCTAATCATGCACTTTTTTTTTTTTTGGTAAAGCCATTTCATAATTTTGACCCCCAGGAAAATAAGTCTTTTTTTTTCCCTTTCCACTGTCGCTGTATGCATAGCCAGTGTGAGGAAATGGAATGAAGGAATGAAGAAATGCAAACTAACATCTTCTGTCTCTACAAGCGCATCCTTTTGGAACAGGTCCAAACAAAAACGTTTTACCAATCTGACAGTTTGATGAGATGACAGCTGTTGTAATTTTTTGATATATAAATTAAATGAATTGAATAAGACTGTAGGTGTATAGGAAAGCTTACCCCTGTCTGGCACCAGAACAGTATCAGCTTATAGTCTAATGATAAATGAAAAAAACTCTGCAATGACAATTGAAGAAAAGCTTCATCATAGAATAATTACTTTCTTAGTATATCAGCAGCAATGTTTGATTTTTTTTAAAAAATATTTTAAATTTCAGTGACTAATTTTACAATGTTTGAAATGTTTCAGTGATTAAATGATCTGTGTTTAGTTTTTCTTTGTCCTATTTTCCAAAGCAGAGGCCTCTTTTTCAATGTCAGTTCAAGCTCTTACTAGTTTAGCTCCACAAGAAACCCCTAAAAGACTTACAAGAACATTTTATTTGTTCTTTGGAATCAGTTGCGTATTTTTGAATCGAGTTGATCTGAACTGAACACATTTCCTTATTGAAAATTATGAATTTTCAGGCTAAAAGTGAAAGCTTTGTTCTACCAAATGATTAATCGTATATCTGAAAATGTACATATGGTTTACAGTAAATGCTGGTCAGGAGCCCTTCAGTTTCTCTGCAGATACATTTATAGACTTGGAATTACTGCTCCTCCCCTCTGGTTGAGTTTACCCAAAAATGTGAACTGTAAAACTGCACAGTGTGGCTAGCTTTCTTTTTCAGCTCTGCTGTAATTATGCATTCTTGGGAAGCCAATTAAATTGCACAGATGTACAGAAATGTTAAATTTTGGTTTTCTTTGAATTTTAGAGCTAACATATGTGGACAAAAATAGAAGATCTTAATTGTGTTTTTTTTTCTGCTGAAAGTATTCATTTGAGTGTAAAATATGGGTTAAAAGTGATGCCCCTTACTTTGTTGATATCACATGTTAGCTCAGACAAAAATCTGTTTCTTTTAACTTTGTCTCTCACAAGCATCCTGATATTAATTCAAAGCTGATGTAAGCTGGTCTGAGCTTTGCAGTAAGTGCTAAAACACTGGGACTGTCATCCAAACTTATCGTTTACAGAGAATTTTCCTTGACTGCCAGTGAAAATACTCTCTGGATGTCAGGAGCCCAATGAATGTGGTATACCTTTTCTCAATGCAAATCATGTGGAACTGTAAAGCAAGCGGCCTAAAGCAGCAGACCACATCATGTTTCTTTGTTTCTTTTTTATTATTATAAAATATTTTTTATTGGTCTAGATTTTTTTTATTAGGATATTGTTTTAACTTTCTCCAGTAAGAACTTCACAAAGTTCTTTAAAAAAAGCAACTGGTTTATTTATACCTCTAAAAGATACAAGGGATGCCAGGAAATAAAAGTTATTTTACTTCCTCTGAGTTTGGGCTGTCATACTTTTCCACAACAAATCAGGAAAAACCCATTGGATAAGATAATTTGTAGCAGAAAAAGAAAGTTTTTCTCTCTTTTTTTCTTCTGTTAGGATTAAATATATAACCTCATACTTTATATTTGGTTATTACAGTAGATATAACATTATAATATTAAATAATTGTGAAATACTTGGAAAAACTTGAACTCTAATTGGCTTTCTTTTCGACGTCTTGGCTTTTATGTGCCTAACTGCTCAGAAAACTTTGTAGTTCTAAGAATACAGCTGTCCTGGAAACTGCAGCAGTGGCAGCAGCGTTTAACGTCACTAGTTCAATGCCTAATGCAAACGTTCCAGAGCTCAGATTTCTTGCACGAAAAGCAGTCATGAACAGGATTTTCAAGTTTAGCCGAGTGGGTGCTCATCATCTTACCTTTCAGCCTTAACCTGCAAATCTCACACTCGCTAAAAGTTCAACACAAACATTCATTAAAAAGTTCAAAGTTGATCCCCCAAAAATATTAGATTAAATCCATATGAATTAGAGAAAGATCCTCTTATCAAAAGTTTATCATTGTAATATGAATTTCTTAGGAAAGACCACAAAAAAAAAAAAAATGTATGAATGATATAATATTACTTTGCTGACTGCAAAGTACTGATTAACTGTATGTATATAATTTTAAATGATTACAACTGTATTCCTGTAAAGATAATCGTATGAGCACCATCCATTCATCTTCTTTCACTTATCAATCAGTTTCACACGGCATGTCCAGCAGTATATGGGTAAAAGGCAGGGCAGAGACAAAATATTGTGCATGCATAATGGTAGTTCAGAGTTTTAGGACTGTGGGAGCATGTTCTCTCTGTGGACACAGAAAGATCCTAGGCTGAGACTCAAACCCAGGAACTCCTTTCTGCAAGGCACCACTACTACAATCTGCACCAATGTGCATCATTGAAATTATATGAGTACCATTTCAATTTAATCAAAGTCAATTTCACTGTGATTATGTATGATATATTTTTTAATCATATTCTTCCATTTGATCCATTTATTTCTTTTGTGCTTCATTTTTGTCAAATAGGAAACAAGAAAATCGTAATGCACAAGTAAACAATAGAAATATGTAATGCTACATATGCCTCCTGTTTTAGCTTACGGTAAGTTTGTTTCTAATAAAAAGTGGCAGTAAAGCTAGGTAAACAATGTCATAGTCATCAGTAGGATGAGTGTTATACCAAAAACAGGTGTAATGGGCTGAACTGCCACTGTGACACCGCATGCTAGTGCAATGATACCTCTATAATTGTCTTTCTTTTAGGTCCCGGAAATGGGAGGCACCTAAGGTCATGAGGAGACAAAGGTCTACATGGAGAA